GATTGCACCAGGCCCAGGTCAGTGTGCTGAGAGCCCTTCTTGCCTGGAGCCAGCAGTGCCTCTGTGCCTGGAGCTGGCAGCTGAGTGCAGCTTTTCCCTGTCCTCCCCACCCCCTTGCTGAGGCTCCACATCCTCCCTGGCAGCTTGTCACTTCTCTGCAGATGTCTAGACAGGAGGATTCAGTGTGTGTCAGTTATGCCTAATTCATTAAAAAAAAAAAAAGAAAGAAATAAATAAAAAAGCCCCAGCCCTCCTGGGAGCTGGGGACTCTCAGTCCTGCAGACTCAGCGCTGTCTGAGCTGCCCTGCCCTGCCTTGAGGCAGCACAGCCGTGCCAGGGAGCTGCAGGAGCAGCAGGGGATGGAGGAGAGGGCGTTTGGAGGGGTTTCTAGGGCCGGGCTGTGCTCCTTGTCCCTGCTGCTCACCCCATCTGTGTGTTCTCGTGTCCCCACCGAGGGCTTCCAGCTTCCCTGGCGCTGCCAGCTCCCCAGTTCCTGCTCCCTCCCAAGGGCAGGGCTGGTTCCAGGAGGGACAGCTCCCTTGCTGCCGTTCTCCATCCAAAACCTCAGCCCTGGCCTCTGCACAGGTGCCGAACTCTGCCCTGGGGGGTGCTGAGGATCTGCAGCTCAGAGCATCCCCTGCTGCAAGAGCAGCTCCCCCCTTTGCTCCCTGCCAGCCCTGCCTCTCCCAGGCTCAGCTCACACGAGCTGGGGCTGCTGATGCTGGCAGTGCCCGTGGCAGCTCCCTGGGTGCAGGCTGAGGAAGGACTGGGCCCCGAGCGTTGTGTTCTCTGTGTCAGTGGCGCTGGTGTGACACATCCTGGTGGGGACAGCTGCCTGCATTTAGTGCCTGCTTTGCATCTGGCTCCTGGGCAGGCACAGCTGAATGGTTCCCATCCCCTCTGCTTGGGCTGATTGTGGGGAAGGGAGCAGGAAAGGTGGCAATGCAATTTTGTCATGAATTTATTTTGTAATAAACAATTTATTGTTTTGTAATAAATTTATCACAAAATAATAAATTTATCTTGTAATAAATTGCAAAACAGAAATCATTTTTATAATTGCAAAATAGAAATTATTTTTATAATTGGAAAACAGAAATTATTTTTATAATTGCAAAATAGAAATTATTTTTATAATTAGAAAATAGAAATTATTTTCATAATTGGAAAATAGAAATTATTTTTATTTCCCTCTGGAAGAAGGAATAATTTAGGATATCCCAGCTTGAGGGGTGAGGGCAGTGCAGATCTGCTGTAGCTGTGCAAACAGCCCTGGCACCTGACTATTGATGAAAAAATGCTGCTGCACTGTGCTCCTCTCCCTCCCCAGGGATCCAAGCTTCTGCTCCATCCCAGGGGGCTTTGGCTGTGCCATTTTGGAGGGCCCTGCCCTGGCTCCAGCCCTGGAGGCCCCACGGTGCCACCTTGCAGAGTTGTTTGTGCCACGCTGGGCTCCAGCTGAGGGCCACCAAGGGCCCCAAGTGCCACCAAGGGCCCCGAGCGCCACCGAGGGCCCCGAGCGCCACCGAAGGCCCTGAGCGCCACCGAGGGCCCCGAGGGCTTCGGCCTTCCCCAGAGGCAGCCCCTGTGTGGGAGCTGTGCACAAGCAGCCGAGTTTCCAGCAGGGATGAGGCACAAAGGGATGGGGGGCACACGGAGGGGCTGGATCGGGGCCCGGCTGCGCGTCAGGCCCGAGGGCAGGGGCTGTGCCCTGATCCCCGCGCCCGCCATGGCAGCAGCTGCACAGGATGTGGCCCTGCTGCCTCCCGGCCCCGCTGCCAGACACAGAACCCCCTCCAGGCTGCCAACAAAAAGCCATTCTGCAGGGCCTTCCTGGGGAAAGGGCAGCCTCGGGACCTCTCCCTGGAGGATGCTCTGTTTATTGCTCAGCACACTTCTTTTCACTCCCAGCAAAATATGGTGTTTTTGTGTGCAGAGAACAGGCCTCCCTTTGGGCAGGGATCATTTGCATTAATTAACAGAGCTGTTATGCACGGCCATGCTCTGGCGCAGAGGAGCCAAACAAACGCCTCCTTTTTTTTTGTTTTTTTTTGTGGTTTTTTTTTGTGCCACAAGCTCAGAGTTATTCCAGGGGAGGCAGCACATCCGTCCCAGCCCGTGCGGACACGTGCAGCGCTGCTGCTGCCCACAGAAGGGGTTGGTGCTGCCTTCCCCCCGTGCAGCCCTGACCCTGCTGCTCCGGCTCCCGTGGTGTTCCCCGTTAGTGACACCCCACAGAGCCTCATTTCCTGGGAATGGGGTTTTACCAGGGAAACCAGGGGTGGTTAGTGCTGCCAGCGAGGTGGCACAGGGCACAGGGAGCAGTCTCAGGCTCTCTAGCTTGTCAGAATCACCCCGAGAATTGTTAAAAGTTTCTTTTCCCACCCTGAGTGCTTGAAGAACGAGTTGGAGCTCTTCAGTTCTCATTCTCAAGGTTGTTCATTGTTTCTTATCTATAAAACATTTTTCTCCTGCCCAGCCGAGGTCCTTCCAGCAGGACAGTTCCAGGCACTGTGCCTGCCCCAGGGCAGTGTTATGTCTTTATACTAAAAACTATCTGTACAATATTTACAATAACTTCCCAATACCTATCACCCATGTTAGACAGTGAGCTTCTACTCTAGACCAATGTAAAAAACTGCCTGTCCCCAGGGCAGGGTTATGTCTTTATACTAAAAACTACGTGTACAATATTTACAATTACTTTCCAATACCTATCCCCTATGTCAGACACTGAGCTCCTACTCTAAACCAATCCAAAAGTGCCACCCTTACAGCAGAAGATGGAGGCCAAGAAGAAGAAGGAGAAAGGCTGGACATGCCCAGTTCCCTCCATCTTGCCCCCCTGAACTGCCATTCTAAAAACCCCAAAATTTAGGTTTTCACCCCGTGATAAATTCACTATCATTCTACTTAAACTGTTGTGGCCTGCTGATCTTCATCTAAGGTTGGTAACTTGCTCCATGGGTCATAATTAAAACCACAGGTGTTTTGTGCTCTGTGCCCGCCCCTCTGGAGCCCAGGCAGGGATGTAAATAACAAAAACTCTGTTTTCTGTGGGCATCTCAGCCAGCAGATGGGAATGAGGAGATGGGGTGTCCCGGGGATGCTGCAGCTTCCCAGAATGGGATGTGGGAGCACAGGACCACCCTCCTGGGCTCTTCCCTGGTGCCCAGGGCACGGTGCCACCCTGCTGTCCCTGCTGAGGGCACCAGCAGGCCCTGCCTGTGCCAGGGGCAGCAGGGACCTCGTGGCACCCGGGTGATGCCAGCAGCAAAGGGCATTGCAGGCTCCTGTCCCCACGCAGGAAACGTGTTTATTCATCTTTTCATCCTCCCCCAGACTCTGTGCGTGCTACAACTGCTCCATAAAAAGGCAGGAGCAGGCTGCAGCCGTGGCTGAGCAGGCTCAGGATGCTGCTTTGCTATTTTTAGGCTCAGCAGGGTGATGGTGGAGGTGTGCAGGAGCGGGGGCCGAGGGGATCCTCTCGCCGCAGGGATGCGGGGGCAGCTGGCAGCCTCGGGATGGGTTCAAGCTGTTTTTTCCCTGCTGCTGCCTCCCCCTCCTTCCTCCTGCTGCTCAGTCATCCCCTGCTCGCCCCCCCAGCTCTGGCACAGAGGCAGCCAAAGGCCTTCTGGATGCAAGCAGCAGCAGGGGGAGGAAATCTCTGCGTGAATAAATGTTCCTTGATCAGGCAGGGCTGTGTTTTCCTAGAAGCACTGAATGGTTTGGGTTGGAAGGCAGTGTGAAAAATCATCTGGTTCCGTGGGCAGGGACACCTTTCACTATCCCAGGGGGCTCTGAGCTCCGTCCAGCCCGGCCTGGGATGCAGGGGCAGCCACAGCTTCTCTGGGAAATCCATTGCAGGGCCTCCCCACCCTCACAGGGAAGAATTCCTTCCCCATATTGAACCTGAATTTCCCCTCTTTGTTTGAAGCAGATGACATTTCCCCAGCAGGGCCTGGTCGGAGCTGTCAGGGTCGCTGTCAGCACACGGTGCTTGAGCTGTGGTGGCTCCCACAGGGATCACCCAGGGCTAAAGCCTGGATTGATGCCTTAAATTCAGCTTTCATGTTTTCCACATTCTGTACTGCATTGGTTTGTAACTCTGAGCTCCATATAAAGTGTCAGCAGTTCTCCTCACAGCTCAGGCACACAGAACAATCCAGCCCCAGAATCCCTGGAGCTGCAGCTCCAGGCCCAAAAAGTGCAAACAGGGAATTGAGGAGAGCAAACTGGGAGGGTGGGACTGCAGAACATGGAGCTGGAATTGGACAATGAACCCCAATATGGAAATGGACCAAAACTTATAAAAGTGTGAAAACTCGTGACACACTGTCCCTCTTGGGTCCATCTTGGATCCATCTTGGATCCACCTTGGGTCCGTCTTGGATCCATGTTGGGTCCATCTTGGGTGCATCTTGGATCCATCTTGGATCCACCTTGGGTCCATTTTGGATCTATCTTGGGTCTGTCTTGGGTCCATCTTGGATCCATCTTGGGTCCATTTTGGATCCATCTTGGGTCTGTCTTGGGTCCACCTTGGGTCCACCTTGGGTCCATCTTGTGTCCACCTTGGATCCACCTTGGATCCATTTTGGGCTCATCTTGGATCCATCTTGGGTCCATCTTGGGTCCATTTTGGATCCACCTTGGGTCCATCTTGGGTCCATTTTGGGTCCATTTTGGATCCACCTTGGATCCATCTTGGGTCCATTTTGGGTCCATTTTGGATCCACCTTGGATCCACCTTGGGCTCATCTTGGATCCACCTTCTGTCCATCTTGTGTCCACCTTGGATGCGCCTTTGTTCCACCTTGGATCCACCTTGGCTGTAGCCCCATCCAGCCTCTTTCCCTGCCCAAGGTGACTCCTTTGAAGCCCCTTTGACAAACCCCCCGTTTCCCCTGTGCGTCCTGCAGCTCCCCTGCCCATGTTAACCCTTTGTTTGCCCCTTTGGCAGAGGCGGCGGGAGGGCGCTGCCGCCCTCGGTGCCCGCCGCAGCCATGGAGGGGGCGGTGCAGCTGCTGAACCGCGACGGGCACAGCATCTCCCACAACTCCAAACGCCACTACCACGACGCCTTCGTGTGCATGAACCGCATGAGGCAGCGGGGGCTGCTCTGCGACATCATCCTGCACGTGGCCACCAAGGAGATCAAGGCCCACAAGGTGGTGCTGGCGTCGTGCAGCCCCTACTTCCACGCCATGTTCACAAGCAAGTAGAGTCCTCTCTTCCCCAGGGACAGGCTGGCAGCTCTCCCCTCTCCACATCCCCTCCCTGTTCTCACTGCCCTGCCCTTTCCTGTGTCACTTCTGTGAGCAAGAACAGGAATGTTCCTCATTTCACTGCCTTCCCTGAGTCCCTTTGCCCGTGTGCAGGATCCTGGTGTCCCCCTCCTGTACAGGATCCTGTCTCCTGTCCTGCAGGCCTGGTCCCCAGTCCCTAGAGCTGGGCAGGAAACCTTCCAGAAACAAACCACTTGTTCCATGCATGGTTTAATCCTCCATTTCCCTCCCTTCCCCGATTCCCTTTGCCCACAGCTCCCTGCACAGGGATCCTGGTGCCCTTTCTCCTGTCCTGACCCCCATTCCCTGGAGCTGGGCAGAAAACCTCCCTGGGCTGTGGTGTGGAGGTGGAGGCAGCTCATTCCATGCATGGTTAAATCCTACTCCCTTCCCTGGTTCCTTTTGCCCTCAGCCCCCTGCCCAGGATCCTGGTGTCCCTCCCTGCCCAGGATCCTGGTGTCCCCCTCCAGTCCTGGTCCCCATTCCCCAGAGCTGGACAGAAACCCTCCCCGGGCTGGGGTGCAGAGGTGGATGCAGCTGGTTCCACGCATCCTCCTGTCGGGGAACAGCCCTGCTGGGGGGTTTTTGTTCATTTTGGGTGTCCTTTGGCCCAGATGAGATGAGTGAGAGCCGCCAGACGCACGTGACACTGCACGACATCGACCCGCAGGCTCTGGAGCAGCTGGTGCAGTACGCCTACACGGCTGAGATCGTGGTGGGAGAGGGGAATGTGCAGGTAGGAGCTGTTCCCCACGTCCCCCTTCTCCACAAAGCTCTTCTGTTCCACATGTGCCTCCTGGGGACTCCTGTCTGCTGCTCAGCAGTGCCAGCCGTGCCTGTGGTGGCAGCCGGGGCTGGCAGTGCTCAGGGAGCTGAGCTGCTTCCCTTCCCAGAGGTGGCTCCTCGAAGCTCTGTGCAGTTCCCAGCCCTGTTCCTGAGCACCTGCCATTCTCCTGGCCCTGGGGGCAGTTACAGGTGTCCTTCCCAGCTGTTCTTCACCTTAGAAACCAGGAGTGCTCTGTCCTTTCTGTGCCTGGAGGTGCTCACTAAACCTGCTCTGCTCGTGCCTCGCAGTGGGACGAGGGTGAAATTCATTTCCTTGCCCTGGGAACTCCCTTTTGCCCCATTCTTTTCCACTCTGCCAGACCCTTCTCCCTGCTGCCAGCCTGCTTCAGCTCAATGGTGTGAGGGATGCTTGCTGCAAGTTCCTGCTCAGCCAGCTGGACCCCTCCAACTGCCTGGGCATCCGGGGCTTTGCTGACACCCACTCCTGCAGCGACCTGCTCAAGTCTGCCCACAAGTACGTCCTGCAGCACTTCGTGGAGGTGTCCAAGACAGAGGAGTTCATGCTGCTGCCCCTAAAGCAGGTGAGGCCTGTGGTGGTGCTCACAGGGGTCCCAGGATGAGGGGAGAGACGAGAATGTTGATTCCATGAAAAGACACCACTGGCACGATGGAGACTGCGAACCGTCAGGGAAAGATGAAATAATAATGAAAACTAAGCTATAAACAGCAAAGATCAACCCCTGTGCCTTTTGCATCATGGTCTAGCAAGAAAAACAAGCAAAATGAATTTAAGTTTGCCATCCCCAAAGCCAAGCGAGCACCTTACAGCAGCTGTTATTGAGTGAACCCACCTCGTTCAGAAGGCTTGATTTTTATTTTATAATATATATTATATTAAAACTATACTAAGAGAATAGAAGAAAGGATTTCATCAGAAGGCTAGCTCAGAATAGAAAAAGAAATTATAACAAAGGCTTGTGAGTGACTGAGACAGTCTGGATAGCTGGGCTGTGATTGGCCATTGAATAGAAACATCCACATGAGCCCAATCCCAGATGCACCTGTTGCATTCCACAGCAGCAGATAACCATTGCTTGCATTTTGTTCCTGAGGCCTCTCAGCTTCTCAGGAGGGAAAATCTTAAGGAAAGGCTTTTCCATAAAACACGTTTGTGCCAGAGGCCCAGTGCAGTGTGCAGCTCAGGGTGCAGCAAAGCTTGCCCTGCTCTGTGTGTCAGGATAAAGCCTGAGGGGTGTGCACTGAGGGGATGGGGTTTGGCAGAGGAGCTGCAGCCAGGCTCTGGGCTTTGGCCCCACTCTATTCAGGCTGTGGGAAGAGCTCTGCCAGCAGGCTGAATCCCACGGGAAATAGGGACAGGAGGGGAGGACAGGGGTCCTTTTGGTCACTGGTGCTTGCCAGGTGATCTCAGCACACTGCCCTGGCTCTGGGAGCAGGGAGTGGGTGCTGGCTGCCCTGGGCTCGTGCCTGGGATGTTTCAATCAGCTCAGCTGATGTTTCTTGCTGCTCATCCTGTGGTGCCAGTGTGGCCCTGGCTCATGTCCCTGGGCAGGAGCAATTCCCGGTCCTTGCTCTGTGTGGATCAGGACCAGACACCTCCCCTCACCCATCCCCGGGGCAGGGGACAATGAGGGAGGGTCACATCTCCCCCTGCTGCAGCTCTGCAGCCCTTGGCAGGTGAAGGGACAGTTCTGGGAGCAGCCAGGGCTGCTGGGTCTGTCCCAGGAGATATGGAAGGGACAAATGCCAGCAGAGTCATCCCCCTGCTGCCCCTGCCAGCGACATCAGGGAGAATTGTCAGGCATTGCAGCAGCCTCAGCCACAGTGAGGGGAAGGGAAGAGCCAGGGAGGATGGTCAGAGATGTCCCCACAAACCTGCACCTGCACCCAGTTGCTGTTTGGAGCCCCCAGCACGTCCAGGAGGCAGAGCTGTGCCTCTGGCACTGCTGTTCACTGTGCTGGGAGCTGGGGATGCCTCCACCCCAAGCAGCACTGCCCTCCCCACCCTGCCTGCAGGTGCTGGACCTCATCTCCAGCGACAGCCTCAACGTGCCCTCGGAGGAGGAGGTGTACAGGGCTGTGCTCAGCTGGGTCAAACACGACGTGGACAGCAGGAGACAGCACGTGCCCAGGGTGAGCATGCTGGGAACGAGCTCAGAGGGGCTGGAAATGGGCTGAGAGTGGGCTGGAAATGGGCTGAGAGTGGGTTGGGAAAGGGGAGAGTGCTGGGAAAAGGGGAGAGTGCTGAGAAGGGGGCTGGTTGTGCCCACCATCTCCGAGTGCCTGGGCTGGAGGAAGCTGCAGGATGGGGCAGGAGCAGCAGGTCCCTGTCCTACCACTTCCAGTCCAGCCTGGAAGGGACCTGAAATCCCATCTCATTCCACCCCCTGCCATGGGCAGGGACACCTTCCACTGTCCCAGGCTGCTCCAAGCTGTCCTTTAACAGTTCCAGGGATGGGGCAGCCCCAGGAGTTTCTCCCTGATCTCAGGCTGTCCCCTCTCAGTGCCCCTGTCCCGTGCCCTGCTCTGTGTCCCCCCAGCTGATGAAGTGCGTGCGGCTGCCCCTGCTGAGCCGGGATTTCCTGATGAGCCACGTGGACACGGAGCTGCTGGTGCGGCACCACTCGGAGTGCAAGGACCTGCTGATCGAGGCGCTCAAGTACCACCTGATGCCCGAGCAGAGAGGGGTGCTGGGCAACAGCCGCACGCGGCCGCGCCGCTGCGAGGGCGCCAGCACCGTGCTCTTCGCTGTGGGTGAGGGCCTGCCGTGCCCATCCCTGCGCCAATCCCTGCGCCAATCCCTGCCCCACATCCCTGCCACCCCCAATCCCTGCCCCAATCCCTGCCCCACATCCCTGCCCCACATCCCCTGCCCGCTGCGAGGGCGCCAGCACCGTGCTCTTCGCTGTGGGTGAGGGCCTGCCGTGCCCATCCCTGTGCCAATCCCTGCCACCCCAATCACTGCGCCAATCCCTGCGCCAATCCCTGCCCCACATCCCTGCCACCCCCAATCCCTGCCCCAATCCCTGCCCCAATCCCTGCCCGCTGCGAGGGCGCCAGCACCGTGCTCTTCGCTGTGGGTGAGGCCCTGCTGCGCCAATCCCTGCCCCAATCCCTGCCACCCCAATCCCTGCCCCAATCCCTGCCCCAATCCCTGCCCGCTGCGAGGGCGCCAGCACCGTGCTCTTCGCTGTGGGTGAGGGCCTGCCGTGCCCATCCCTGCGCCAATCCCTGTGCCAATCCCTGCCCCAATCCCTGCGCCCATCCCTGCACCAATCCCTGCACCAATCCCTGCCCCAATCCCTGCCCCACATCCCTGCCCCAATCCCTGCCCCACATCCCTGCCACCCCCAATCCCTGTGCCAATCCCTGTGCCAATCCCTGCCCCAATCCCTGCCCCACATCCCTGCCCCAATCCCTGCCCGCTGCGAGGGCGCCAGCACCGTGCTCTTCGCTGTGGGTGAGGCCCTGCTGCGCCAATCCCTGCCCCAATCCCTGCCACCCCAATCCCTGCCACCCCAATCCCTGCCCCACATCCCTGCCCCATCCCGGTGGCTTTGGGCTGTGTTTGCTCCCCTCAGCTCTCGGGTCTCTAGCTGCTCAGAGTGGCCCCAAGATGTGTCAGAAAGTCTCTTCTCGCAGCCTGGCAGTTGAAGAAGGAGTCAGAGCTGTTCATTTCTCGGTCTCAAGGTTGTTTATTGTATCTTATCTGTAAAATTCTTTCTCCTGTTCAACCAAGGTCTGCTCAGCAGGACAGTCCAAGGCACTCTGCCTGCCCCCAGGGCAGGGTTATCTTTTTATACTAAAAACTACGTGTAGAATATTTACAATTACTTCCCAATACCCATCACCCATGTTGGACAGTGAGCTTCTACTCTAAACCAATCTAAAAGTGCCACCATCACAGCAGAAGATGGAGGCCAAGAAGAAGAAGGAGAAAGGCAGGACACGTCCAGATTCCTCCATCTTGCCCCCTGAATCCCCATTCTAAAAACCCCAAAATTTAGGTTTTCACCCCGTGATAAATTCACTATCATTCTACTTAAACTGTTGTGGCTTGCTGATCTTCATCTAAGGTTGGTAACTTGCTCCATGGCTCATAATCAAAACCACAGGTGTTTCTGGGTCTCTGAGCCCCCTGGCAGGGGTCTTGGCTGCTCAGGACACCCAGAGGGACGACAAATTAAGTAGAATGATAGCTAATTTATCACAAGGTGAAAAAGTAGATTTTGGAGTTTTTAGAATGGGGATTCAGGGGGGGCAAGATGGAGGGATCTGGGTGTGTCCAGCCTTTGTCCTTCTTCTTGTTCTGCTGTGATGGTGGCACTTTTGGATTGGTTTAGAGTAGAAGCTCACTGTCTAACATGGGTGATAGGTATTGGGAAGTTATGGTAAATAATGTACAGGTAGTTTTTAGTATAAAGACATAACACCACCCCTGGGGCAGGCACAGTGCCTCTGACTGTCTTGCTGAGTGGAGAAAGGAGAAAGATTTTTAGAGATCAGATGCAATAAACAACCTTGAGGCTGAGAAATGAAGAGCTCTGCCTCCTTCTTTGACCGCCAGGCTGCGAAAAGAGACTTCCCAACTTTCCTCGGGGTCACTCTGAGCAGCGAGAGCCCCCGACAAGAGGGATGTCCTGAACTCCAACCCTGGCCCTCCCCGAGCAGGTGGAGGGAGCCTGTTTGCCATCCACGGGGACTGCGAGGCCTACGACACACGCACGGACCGCTGGCACATGGTGGCCTCCATGTCCACGCGCCGCGCCCGCGTCGGCGTCGCCGCCATCGGGAACAAGCTCTACGCTGTGGGAGGGTAAGGGGGCACAGGGAGGGCGGCACGGATGGGCAGAGTGATCCAGGATCTATGGGGTGGCCATGGAAAAGCCCCTTCCCTGCTCACAAGGATCTCTGTGCCCCTGGGATGTGATGGTGTTCGCAGAGATCTGAGGATGAGGGAACACACGAGGATCTGACTCCATGGTTCAGAAAGCTTGACTTTTATTTTATGATATATATGTTATATTAAAACTATACTAAAAATAGAAGAAAGGATTTCATCAGAAGGCTGGCTAAGAATAGAAAAAGAATGATACAAAGGCAGCTGCCTCAGACTCTCTGTCCAAGCCAGCTGGGCTGTGATTTGCCATTAATTAGAAACAACCACATGAGCCCAATCCCAGATGCACCTGTTGCATTCCACAGCAGCAGATAACCATTGTTTGCATTTTGTTCCTGAGGCCTCTCGGCTTCTCAGGAGGAAAAATCCTGAGGAAAGGATTTTCCATAAAAGATGTGTGTGACACTGGGATGGCTCCTCCAGCTCGTGCTGGGCTCTCTGAGGCAGGCAGCTGAGATTCCTCCTGGGAACTGTGGGAGAGAGGGGAGGAAAGAAGGGAGGTCCCCCCAAAAGGGTTTTCATGGCAGGAGCAGGGCTGACCCCACAGAAGTGACCTCCCCCATGGGCATTCCTCATGGGCAATGCCCCCTCCTGAAGTGCCCATTTCCCTCAGAATGCCAGACTGGTTTGGGTTGGAATTTAAAGCTCATCTCATCCCCCCCATCACACCTTCCACCATCTCAGCTTTCTCCAAACCCCACCCAGCTTGGGCACTTCCAGGGATCCAGGGGCAGGCCCAGCTTCTCTGAGCAGCCTCTTCTCCCCTTCTGCAGCTACGATGGGACCTCTGACCTGGCCACAGTGGAGTCCTACGACCCTGTCACCAACTCCTGGCAGCCCGAGGTGTCCATGGGCACCAGGAGGAGCTGCCTGGGGGTGGCAGCCCTGCACGGGCTCCTCTACGCTGCCGGGGGGTACGATGGGGCCTCGTGCCTCAACAGGTAGGGATTGCCTTGCTCCATCCTCCCTGCCCCTGCACGCACTCCCTTGGAGCTGGGAACCCTGCTCCTGACTGCTCCTGACCCTTGAGCAGATGTTTTACAGCTCAGCTCTGTGATGCTGCTCACAGGGGTCTGAGGGTGAGGGAAGAGACGAGGATCTGACTCCATGGTACAGAAGGCTCGATTTATTATTTTATGATATATATTACATTAAAACTATACTAAAGAATAGAAGGAAAGGTTTCATCTCAGAAGGCTGGCTAAGAATAGAATAGGAAAGAAAAGAATGATAACAAAGATGATAACTCTCTGTCCAAGCCAGCTGGGCTGTGATTGGCCATTAATTAGAAACAACCACATGGGACCAATCCCAGGCCCACCTGTTGCATTCCACAGCAGCAGATAACCATTGTTTGCATTTTGTTCCTGAGGCCTCTCGGCCTCTCAGGATGAAAAAATCTTAAGGAAAGGATTTTCAATGCAAAGATGTCTGCGAGACACCTCCTTCTCCCCGTGGGGAAGACCCCACTTTGTCGCCCTCTGCCCCAACAGAACCCAGCCTGTGTCAGCTCCCCTCCATCTCCCCCGTCTGTCCCCAGTCCCTGGGCGCTCCCCTCATCCCAGAGCTCTGCCCTGAGCTTTTCCCGTGTCCCACCCGTGTCGCTGTGTCCCTGCAGTGCGGAGAGGTACGACCCCCTGACGGGCACCTGGACGTCCATCGCTGCCATGAGCACCCGCAGGCGCTACGTGCGCGTGGCCACGCTAGGTGGGTGCTGCCAGGGGGCTGGGGGGGTCCTGGGCAGGCTCCCGAGGGCTCCTGGTGCTGCTCTGCTCCAGCTCCTGCCCCCTCTGCAACGCCTCTGCCAAGAGCTTGAAACTCAGCAAAACTCCCACAACAGTTAATGCTACCTGCTCCTCTAATTCAGACACAACAGTACTGAGGAAAAAAGTAAAAAGCAATCTAAATTAAAGGTTGGCCCTCCATTATGATTACCTAATTAGTCTGATATTAATCAAAATTTAAATCAAGATTTAAATTCAAGGAAACAACTCTTTGCATTACCTGTAAGATATCATCGTAATCATGTAAATCCACGATTTGAAAGTCTTTCTCACCATGATATAAAAGAACTGCATCAAGCTTTAAAAGAAAGTAAATTCTCTTCTCCTTTTATTTTAATAATGTGTTAAAATGTATTTTTAATTCTTATAACTTAGTCCCTGCTAGTTATCGAAATGTAACTTCCCTAATTTTGGAGTTTTTAGAATGGGGATTCAGGGGGGGGCAAGATGGTGGGATCTGGGCGTGTCCAACCAATTCACAATATCTTTTATAAAAATTACAATAATTTTTACTACAATAATTGGTGTGCTCCCTGCTCTGCCCTCCTCCCTGACACCTGGGATTCAGCACGCTCTGGAGGCAGCTCCTGCAGGGATCCATAAATTGTTCCTCTCTAGTTTGGAGCAAGGGGCTGCCAGTGGATGGAGGGATCTGGGCCTGTCCAGCCTTTCTCCTTCTTCTTCTTCTTCTTGGCCTCCATCTTCTGGGTGATGTTGGCATTTTTAGACTCGTTTAGAGTTGAAGCTCAGTGTCTAACATAGGTGATAGGTATTGGGAAGTAATTGTAAATATTGTACAGGTAGTTTTTAGTATTAAAAGAGTGCTCCATCTTGCCCCCTGAACCCCCATTCTAAAAACCCCAAAAATCTATTTTTTCACCCTGTGATAAATTCACTATCACTCTATTTAACTTTCGTGGCTTGCAAGTCTTCATATAAAAATTTGCTCCATGGCTCATGTGCCATTTCCTAAGGCCTTTCCAATCACTCCTTCCAGGACAAACAGAAATCCTTGGCCATGGGCTGAGGAGGGGACCAGCTCACTGGCAAAGCCTTTTTCAGCACTGGAGAACTCTCACACAGTGCCACAACCATTCTTATTTCTCCCTGTGCTCTGTAACAGCAGAGGTATTTGGACGCACAGCCCAATGTGAATGTCACACATCTGTTCATGCAAAGCAGAAAGAGCCTAAAACAGCACAAAACTCCCAAAGAGCAGCACAGGGAGGTTCCCACCAAAGGGTTTTCAGGGCAGGATCTGTGTGGCCAGAGCAGGACTGGCCCCACAGAAGTGACCTGGCACACAAGTGACTCAGCACAGTGGCACCTGTGCTGAGGCTCAGCCTGGACCTGTGTGGGCACCTCCAGAGTGGCACCTGTGACCTCGTGAGTGGCTGTGGTGGGACAGGGAGGTGTCCTCAGCTCATGCCTGTGCCTCTGTCTTTGCAGAAGGAAACCTCTATGCAGTGGGGGGCTACGACAGCTCGTCCCACCTGGCCACGGTGGAGAAGTACGAGCCCCAGGTACGTGTGGGAGGGAGATTGGGGTGACTCTCGTGCTTCTCCCCTCTTCAGGAAGGCCCCAAGCCACCGTGCATGGCTGGGGGATGAAGGGGGATCGGCAGGGCCGCTGCATCCAGGGTGCAATCCCGAGCACAGTGACCCAAAGCTGCTCTGTGAGAGCTCCCTGTGAGGTTTGGCCACCAGAACAGCCCCTGGCCCCACTGCCCGTGGTTCTGAGGGCAGCAGGGATCCTGTCTGTGCCCTGAGCTGCTCCCAGCTCCCAGCTGGTGGCAGGCTGGGGACACAGCTCTGCTCCAGCAGGGTCGGTCACTGCAGAGAGATCAAAGAGCAGGTCCTGGAGGCTTTTCCTGAGCTGCAGAGCCCCAGCTGCACTCACTCAGATTGGAAAGAGATACAGCTCAACCCCCGGGGCTGGGCTGGCATTCAGCTGGGGCACAACTGGTGGCCTGGCACGGGCATCTCTGTGCCCCTGGGATGGCTCCTGCCAGCTGCTGCTGCTGTGCTCTCTGAGCCAATTCTGCTCTCTAATTCCTCTTGCCAGCCGTGGGACAGCGGGGAGGAACAAAGTGATCCCCCCTGAAGGCTTTTCATGGCAGGGGCTGCATGGCCAGAGCAGGACTGACCTGGCAGGGGTGTGTGGGAAGTGCCCTGTGGGGTGGCTGATGGGGTCCCTGTGCCCAGGTGAACACCTGGAGCCCCATTGCCAACATGCTGAGCTGGCAGGGGTGTGTGGGGTGGCTGATGGGGTCCCTGTGCCCAGGTGAACACCTGGAGCCCCATTGCCAACATGCTGAGCTGGCAGGGGTGTGTGGGGTGGCTGATGGGGTCCCTGTGCCCAGGTGAACACCTGGAGCCCCATTGCCCACAGGCTGAGCTGGCAGGGGTGTGTGGGGTGGCTGATGGGGTCCCTGTGCCCAGGTGAACACCTGGAGCCCCATTGCCAACATGCTGAGCTGGCAGGGGTGTGTGGGGTGGCTGATGGGGTCCCTGTGCCCAGGTGAACACCTGGAGCCCCATTGCCAACATGCTGAGCCGCAGGAGCAGCGCGGGCGTGGCCGTGCTCGAGGGGATGCTCTACGTGGCTGGTGGCAATGATGGCACCAGCTGCCTTAACTCTGTGGAGCGCTACAACCCCAAATCCAACACCTGGGAGAGCGTGGCCCCCATGAACATCCGCAGGTAAGGAAGGGGCTCTGCCCCTCTGGAGCCTCAGGAGCGGGGATCTGGCCTTGCTGTGCCACAAAACAGGCACACCACGGGGTTTGGGGCTTTGTGGCTGGCTCAGCATGCTCCTGCCATGCTCAGAGGGATTGGAGGGAGAGCCAGCAGGGCACAGCAGGGATGTTGTGCACAGGGATTTACCCTCAGCACTTTGTGTGGCCATAAAGAACCAGGGCTTGAGCTGGCTGAGCCCACCGAGATGCTGCTGGGCTCTGGGAGGAATTAAGGCTTGCAAGGCCGAGGATTTTGGGCTCAGAGGGTTTGGTAGTTGATGGGGTTTGGTGTTTGATGGAGTTTGGTATCTGATGGGGTTTGGTAGTTGATGGGGTTTGGTAGTTGATGGGGTTTGGTATTTGGTGAGGTTTGGTATTTGATGGGGTTTGGTATCTGATGGGGTTTGGTATTTGATGGGGTTTGGTATTTGATGGTTTGGCATTTGATGGGGTTTGGTATCTGATGGTTTGGCATTTGATGGGGTTTGGTATTTGATGGGGTTTGGTGTTTGATGGGGTTTGGTATTTGATGGTTTGGCATTTGATGGGGTTTGGTATCTGATGGGGTTTGGTGTTTGATGGGGTTGGGGTGAGAGGGTCAGAGTGAAGGGAGGACTCAGAGGGTTTGGTGTTTGATGGGGTTTTGCATTTGATGGGGTTTTGCATTTGATGGGGTTTGGTATTTGATGGGGTCTGGTATTTGATGGGGTTTTGCATTTGATGGGGTTTGGTATTTAGTGAGGTTGGGGTGAGAGGGTCAGAGTGAAGGGGGAACTCAGAGGGTTTGATATTTGATGGGATTTGGTATTTGATGGGGTTTTGCATTTGATGGGGTTTGGTATTTGATGGGGTTTTGCATTTGATGGGGTTTGGTGTTTGGTGAGGTTGGGGTGAGAGGGTCAGAGTGAAGGGGGGGGATCTGTGGCTCTGTGCTGTGCTCTGCCTGTTGGTGCCCAGCACTTCATTTCCCCGGGCTGTTTGTGGGGTGCCACAGCTCTGGGCAGGTCCCTGCCATGCTGAGCTGCCCCCAACCCCTCCCAGCTCACCCTGTGCTCTCCCCGTGCAGGAGCACCCACGACCTGGTGGCCATGGACGGGTGGCTCTACGCCGTGGGCGGCAACGACGGCAGCTCCAGCCTGAACTCCATCGAGAAGTACAACCCCCGCACCAACAAGTGGGTGGCCGCCTCGTGCATGTTCACCCGCCGCAGCAGCGTGGGGGTGGCCGTGCTGGAGCTCCTCAACTTCCCGCCGCCCTCCTCGCCCACGCTCTCCGTGTCCTCCACGAGCCTTTGACACCGAGCCCGGCCGTGCCTCGGCGCCCGGGGACGGCACCTGAGCCAGCCCGGCCGCGCCGCGGGGCTCTGCCCGCTCTGGGCGCAGCCGCAGGGCCGCCAGATGTGCTTCCAGCAGGGCCTCCCCTCTGGAGGGCCAGCGGAGGGGCCAGGCTCGTCCAGCGCCCCCCAAAGCCCCTCTGGGCAAGGGGAGCCCGAACCATTGCTGCTTCTGGGACTGCCGTGCTCCAGCCGTGCCACCGGGCGCTGCCAGCCCTGCGGGGCCCAGGGGACAATGTGTGACCCCCACTCGGAATGTCACCGCAGCCAAGCCCAGCCCGAGGTGTGTGCCCTGCTCCGAGGGCGTCTCTCTGATGCCTTAACCACAGCAAGAGAAGAGGCCCAGCCCAGGCCCAGCCCTGCAGGTGGGGAGGGTCCCTCTGGGCCCAGCTGAGCGCGGCTCTGGCCAGGCTGGTGGCTGCAGGGGCCTTGGTGGCGCCGCTGCCATCGCTGCCGGCCCAGGCGCCGGGACTGGCACTCTCTGGGAATGGCCTGGCCTGTTTGCTGTTCCCCTCTCTGCACAGCAGACTCTGGGCTTGTGGAAAGGAATCAGTTCTTGCAAGAAGAACGGTCCAGCCTTCCGAACGAGGACGATTGCCTGGCATTACTTTTTTGGGTATTAATTTTTTTATTTGAATGCTAATATGACTCCATATCCCTTTCTTTTTTACACTGCCCTGGTATTCCCCATCCCCTCTGCTCTCCAGGCAGCAGAAGGGATGCAGTTCCTTTTTCCATTTGTTGAGGAGGTGATTCCTGTGCCCTGGAAGCTCTCTCTGGATGGGTGGGGTGTGTGCACGTGTGAGAGGCCAAAAGCAGCACGGGAGGGACCCTTTCCCATTAGCGACTCCCTGGCAATTAAACAACCACTCTAATGAGCTAAAGCTTGGATAAATTAGCACTGTGAGGCCTGTCCTAGAGCCAGGGCCCCCGTGCTGTGGTGTTTTCAGGGTGTGCTCTGGGTGTGAGCCGTGAGCTGAGGCACAGCTCAGGTGCTCCCCACACCACAGAGGAACGACTCAACCACTGGTACCTCAATGTGTTCAAATGTTCAAATGTAGCATTGGAAATATGGTCCAACTGTTTGGAACTCATTCCTTCCTCCTTTTTTCCCCCCCTACTGCCCAGTTCTCACTCACAGAGCTCAGATTTCACTCCTGTGGTACCTGTGGGCCTGAATTTTCAAGTAGCGAGAGATTTCTGCTCCTTAAACTCTTCTGAAAGAGGAGTTTAAAACGAGACAGGGACTCCCCAGCTTCAGATCCTTTTCTTGGCAGTCTGGTTTCCCCTGGACAGGAGCCTGCAGGTTTCCCAAGCCCACTCACAGTGCCTCACGTTGTACACCTGGAATTCCCAGCAGCTTCTGCAAACCAGGGCTGCCTCCCCCTCCAGCCTCTCCCCAAGGACAGTCTGAGCTTCTCAGGCTGAGGAGGCCTTTTTGGCTTTTGGAACAGGCTCCAAATGCTCTTTTTGTCCCCTTCTCCCTGTCACAGCTCAGCAGTTCCCTATTTCCCTGTCCTGCAGAGCCCCCTGTGAGTGCCCAGGCTCTGCAGGTGTCTCCCAGCAAGGTCAGAGCATTCTGCTTTGTTCAAAACCTGATGAAACCAGTGAAATCTGCTCTGTTTGGTGCACGTGCCTCCACCCAAGTGAGCTCTCAGCCCTTTCCATCCTGCTCCTGCAACCAGCAAAGGGATTTCCCTCTCCTGCTGGGCTCTCATCCAGGTGTCCCTGGCTCCAGGGCCCCCTTTGCAGGAGGATCAGCCCAAAAGCCCCACGGAGAGGTGGAAGGGGCTGGTGCTGGGCCCGAGGTGCTGAGGAGCTCAGGAGGGGTCAGGAGTGAAGGGAGAGGGGAGCCCGGCCAGGATCTGCAGTGCAGGAGCTGCAGAGAGGGAAACAGGGCTGGATTCAAACAAGGAGCGAGATGGGGCAGTGGCTCAGAGCCTCTGCTCCAGAGTGGGGAGGGAGCTGTGCCTTGGGAGCAGAACCTGAGGGAAGTCAGAAATGCAGCGGAATTTTGGTGTCACTGCAAATCCTGAGGGAAGTGAAAAATGCAGCAGAATTTCGGTGTCACTGCAAATCCTGAGGGAAGTGAGAAATGCAGCGGAATTTCGGTGTCACTGCAAATCCTGAGGGAAGTGGGAAATGCAGCGGAATTTCGGTGCCACTGCAAATCCTGAGGGAAGTGGGAAATGCAGCGGAATTTCGGTGCCACTGCAAATCCTGAGGGAAGTGGGAAATGCAGCAGAATTTCGGTGCCACTGCAAATCCTGAGGGAAGTGGGAAATGCAGCGGAATTTCGGTGCCACTGCAAATCCTGAGGGAAGTGGGAAATGCAGCAGAATTTTGGTGCCACTGCAAATCCTGAGGGAAGTGGGAAATGCAGCAGAATTTTGGTGCCACTGCAAATCCTGAGGGAAGTGGGAAATGCAGCAGAATTTCGGTGCCACTGCAAATCCTGTGTGGTGCTCTCCTGCTTCCTGAGGAGCAGGGACAAGGGCAGAGTGGCTCCTGTGTCCCCTGGCTGGCTCCTGAGCAATACCCACTGAGCCTGCGCCACGAGGAGGGAGCCTCCTGTCTGTGCTGCCCAAACTATGCAGGAAAGGGCAAAAGAACCCCCCAGCATCTCCTGGGGGTCCCCAGCCCCCCGACCCACACTGTGTGGACACGAGGTGTCAGCCCCTGCCCTGGGACGTGCCAGGGTGGGATTGCTCCTGGTGCTGCTCGTCCCCTGCCGAGGAGGAGGAGGAGGAGGAGAGCTCGGAGGGGACGCCTGTCTGTGTCTGTCTGTCTGTCTGTGCTGTCTGAGGGGAGGAGAACAGCTCTGTGTGGCTTCCCTGCCAGTTTCAGTCCGTGCTGTCTCGCCCAAGATGTTCCTTGTCTGGATTCCCAGCGGAGGAGCGTCCCCAGGCCGGGGGCTCCGGGCTCTGGGGTCTTCCCCAGCAGGGCCAGGCTGGAGCCCCTGCCCTGGTTTGGGGGCAGAGGCTCCCTTGGCCTCCCTGCTGGGCACACCTGGTCCAGATCCATGTCCAAGCGTCGTCACTTTGATTTCTCTGTAACTTTATGCGACTTTATTTATGTGGAACTCTGTTTTCTCTGAATTTTTTGCACTACACGGGGCTGGGGAGGGGATACAAGCAATAGAAGCCAACGTGTACAATAAAGACATTTTCTTGGAGAGCGGCTCCTGCCTCGTGCATCCTTCACTGTCCCTTCCCTGGCTCCTGGGGCTGCTGCCTCCTCCCCAGCCAGAGCAGGGCTCCCCAGGCAGAGGGTGCAGAGCTCTGCCTCTGCTTGAGCATCCAGGGCAGGTTCAGGCGGTGTCAGGGGAGGGTTTGGGATGGGGATCAGGGAAAGGTTCTTCCCCAGAGGATGTTGGGCAACCCTGAGCTTCATATAAAGTGTCAGCTTCATATAAAGTGTCAGCAGTTCTCTCCTCACAGCTCAGTGCCACAGAACCTTTTCCAGCCCCAGAACGAAGGACACCGCTGCAGCTTCAGACCCAAAAAAGCGCAAACAACAAAAAGGCCCAAAAGGCCCCAAAAGTGCAAACAGCAGGGAATTGAGGAGAGCAAACTGGGAGGGTGGGACTGCATCACCTGGAGCTGGAATTGGGCAATGAACCCCAATATAGAAATGGACCAAAACTGATAAAGGGTGAAAACTCCTGACTCTGAGTCCATCTTGGGCAGAGCCCTGGCCAGGTTCTTGTTCTGCCCAAGGTGTATCCTTTGAAGGCCTTTCAATAAATCCCCACTTTATTCCTTTAACTCTGCCCAGCCTTTAACTTGCTTCATTTATTTTAAATCCCACTTTATTCCTTTAACTCTGCCCAGCCTTTAACTTCCTTCATTTATTTTAAACCCCACTTTATTCCTTGAACTCTGCCCAGCCCCTGATCCAGGGCAGCCTCTCATGGCTCCGGTGCCCCCTGTCCCTGCCAGCCCTGCTGGTGTCACTGCTGTCCCTGAGACAGCAGCAGGAGCTGCACTTGTGCCCCTGCTCTGAGCTGGGAGGTTTTATTGAGCTCCAGCTGCAGGAGCAGCGCGTTTGTGGTCACGGCCTGACCGTGTTAGCCACGGATCTGGGGGCAATGCCCCTTTTCTGCACAGGACACAGCTGGGGCTGTTTGCTGATCTCAGACAGGAGCTGCTGGGCTGCTGCTGGGCTCTCTCCCAGCTGTGCAGAGAGCAGGGAGCAGCCCCTGCCGTGAAAATCATGGAATTTGTGGTGGGGGCCCTCGGGAGGGGGGTGCTGGTGCTGTGCTGGGCCAGGAAGGGTTAATGGGTTCTGGGCACAAGGGGGGGGGTAAAGGAGCTGCTTTTAGAGGTCAGAAATGGGGAGAGATTTTATGGCACATCCGTTCTCAGCTGCTCTCTCCTGGCCACTGTGGCCTGAGCATGGAATCCCTTTTTTGGGGAATATTTTGTAACTTCTAGGGTAAAAGACAAATGGGAGTGTTTCCATCAACCCCAGCTTGATCCCAAGAGATTCCCCAGGAAAACCTCCTGAAATAACATTTATAACATAAATAACCTCCTGTACATTTGTCACAACACGTCCTCTGTGGTGTTTCTTACATCACTGTTATTTGTGTTCACTAAAGCTGATTTTTTTTCAAACGTGCCAATTCAATTCAATTCGTTTTGACAAGATCTGATTTCCACAGCCCCGTGTTCATTTGTATTAATTATATTCTCCTCCTGTAATTCTCAAAGTTAATCCAACTCCCTCACAGCTGTTACATCATTTTCCCAGGAATTACTGTCAACTGGCAACCCCATAATTACCAGGGTGGTTTTTTACCCATGGAAACACTGATATCCCTGTTAAATTATGCAATTTCTTTGCAAATTCCGTGGTCCTGCAAGAACTGAATTGCAACAGTGACTCAAGCCCTTTGTGTTCAGCTCTTTCAAACTTTCTAATGTGAATTCTCTCTATATTTTGAACCAGAGCATTCATTTTGTGTTTACTTCTTAGCAGCCACCTGAAAATAAAAAGGGTTTCTCGTTTGCTATGGCTGTAATTCCTGGGGGTTTTTCCAGCACAGAAATACTGAGTCTGCATTTACCTTCTGTCATTAACTTCTCCTTTTTATTGTTTATATTTCCATGCAGTGAGGCACTCACAGCACAGTCAGAAATCTTCAGTTTGCTTCCTTTTAAAGCATTTCTTCTTTTTTTTTTGCTGCTCGTGCACATCTCCTTTTGCTCTTTGCTCCCTTGATCCATTTCCCACCACTCCTAGATTTTGGGTTGTGTCCCATTTGATATTTTTTTCCCGTTTATTTTTATATCTTTAACCCAGCCAGGAAGGGGGAACCCTTTGGAACCTTTCAACCCTGGGGATTTTTGTTAATGCTTAAACAGCAACCACCAACTTTATCTCGCTGCATCCTTATCTCTGCCGGTGCAGCGGCCGAATTCCATTTGGGAAAAATTGGGAGAACGCTCTGGGATGGGTTAATTGGCCCAATTCCTTTTGGGAAAATGCTCCAGGATGGGGTTTCTGGGCCGAGTTCCATTTGGGAAAAAGCTCTGGGATGGGTTTCTGAGCTGAATTCCTTTTGGGAAAATGCTCCGGGGTGGATTTATCGGCCAAATTCCTTTTGGGAAAAAGCTCTGGGATGGGGTTTCTGGGCCGGGTTCCTGCTGGGAGAACGCTCCGGGATGGGATTCTGGGCCGAATTCCATTTGGGAAAAAGTTCCAGGACGGGATTTTAGGCCGAATTCCTTTTGGGAAACCGCTCCGAGATGGGCTTCTGAGCTGAATTCCTTTTGGGAAAAAGTTCTGGGGTGGGTTTCTGGAACAAATTCCTTTTGGCGCTCCGGGATGGATTTATAGGCAGAATTCCTTTTGGGAGAACGCTCCGGGATAGGATTATCAGCTGAATTCCATTTGGGAGAGTGCTCCGGGATGGGTTTCTGAGCTGAATTCCATTTGGGAAGCCGCTCCGGGCTGGGTTTCTGAGCCGAATTCCATTTGGGAAGCCGCTCCGGGCTGGGTTTCTGGGCCGCCTTCCCCCCGGCGCTCCGGGCTGGGTTTCCGGGCGGCCGCAGCCCCGTTCCGCCGCTGCTCGGGGTGGATTCCCAGGCACAGGTACCTGGCCCGCCCCTCCCAGCCCCGGGGCGGGAGCGAGGGCAGGATCGAGGGCCAGGATCGGCTCCGGGCTCCGCTCACACGCACTCGAGCACCGGCGGGCGCGGAGCAGCGATCCCGAGGGACTCCGCATCGATCCCGCAGCGATCCCGCACTGATCCCGCAGCGATCCCGCAGCGATCCCGAGGGACTCCGCAGGGACTCGGCACCGATCCCGCAGAGACCCCGCACCGATCCCGCACTGATCCCGCACTGATCCCGCACCGATCCCGCAGAGCTCCCGCACCGATCCCGCACTGATCCCGCACCGATCCCGCAGCGATCCCGCAGCGATCCCGTCCCGATCCCGCAGCGATCCCGCAGCGATCCCGCACCGATCCCGCAGCGATCCCGGCATGGGGAACATCGCCTGTGTCCCGCAGGCTCCCGGCGGCTTCAGGAGCTCCTTCCGAAGGAAACCCTCGCTGAAGAAGGAGTGAGTGACCCCCGCCGGCTCCGGGACGTGGGAGCGGGGCTGGGTCTCCTGCGGGGTCCCTGCCGGCCGGGATTTCCCATTCCCGGGGGGTTTGGGGCGCTGGGCACTGCCAGACGCCGGGATCAGCTCGCCCCGAGCGCCTGGGATGGAATTCTCAGCCGGCAGCGAGCGGGGCAAGCGCCGCTGGGTTAATTTTAGTTTGGGTGATTTAGCTTCCCCCGGCGGGACAGGCTGCAGAACACCTGATATTCCCCGTTTTCCCTTGGGAGCGCTCTCATTCACGGGTGTGGGAGAACAACATTCCCACTCCTCGGGCTTTAGGGAGAAAGCCCCAAATGCCAGCACCCCGCTGTGGGATTTGTGTTTGTAAAACCCAAAGGAGGAGCAGCAGAAAATGTCTGTGAAGTCCTTTGGGGATTTGGGTGCAGAAAATGTCTATGAAGTCCTTTGGGGATTTGGGTGCAGAAAATGTCTGTGAAATCCTCTGGGGATTTGTCTGGCCACACTCAGGTGCCGTGGCCATGGGTGGCTGTCCCAAAATAGGGACAGGCAGGGAATGCTCTGCAGCTTCCCAGCTTTCCACTGCTCCCATCAGCACGGCCAGAGCTGGGACAGAGCTCGGGAGGGAACCAGGGGACTCCTCATGAACCTGTCTGTGCTGGGTTTAGGGGCAGGGCTGTGCCAAAAACCCCCTAAACTCTGCCAGGCTGAGGGGTTTCTGATGGAAAGGAGACCCTGAACTGTCCCCTGTGCTGCCAGAAATCAGGGACAAACCTGTAGGGGCCTGAGGAGCTCCTGTGGGGTAAAAGAGAGGGGATCCCTTAGGGAATTTGGGGTGAAATACAAGGGATCCCTCAGGGAATTTGGGGTTAAAGAGAGGGGATCCCTTGGGGAATTTGGGGTGAAAGAGAGGGGATCCCTTGGGGAGGTTGGGGTAAAAAACCAGAGGGGATCTCCTGGGGCATTTGGGCTCTGGGGGTCTCACACCAGGGCCCTGTGGTGGAGCAGCCAAGCCCCAGAGCTCCTCCTGTGCCATTGGCTCCCAGCTTCCCGCGCTGGTGGGGATTGTCCTGGGTTTCTGCTGCAATCTGAGGAAGCCCCAGCACTCCCCAGTGGCTGCCTGGGACTGGTGTGCACGCAGGGAGAAACTGGGAGTGGGAGTGGGGGGATAGGGAAGCCACCAAGGCAGAACTGAACCCTCCCTGTGAATCTCTGCCCTGAGGATCCATCCCCACTGGGTTTGGTCTCTGTGTCCTGCATGGAACATCCAGGCCCTGTGGGGATTTGGGGCACAGATGAGCCAAGCTGATCATTTGGCTGAGCAAAGAGCCATAAAGAAGCAGAGAAACCTCAACAACTGTAGCAAAGTCCCCTTTCAGTTCTGCCAGGCTTTGTCATCCTGGCTGGGCTGGGATGACTCGAAAGCCCGTGACACATTGCTTGCCTGGTGTCCTGGCTTCCTTATTTCAGGGCAGGACTCACCATGCCTCAGCCTGGGTCTGTGTTTCCATGTGTGTTTTGGTTTTTTTTTTTTCCTTTTTCCCTGTAGACAAAATGGCAAGAAAAAGCTGCCCAGCTTCTTTGGGATAGATGGAAACCAGGAGAGGGACACGACCACGGACAAAATCCTGCAGTACATCCCAGCCAAGGCAAGAGTTCCCAACACCTCCAACCCCCTCCCCGCTGCTCCTGGGGTTCATTCCCACCCTCCCCAAGCACAGAATTTGGGAAGGACGTTGGGTTTGGCTCTGGGGGCTGCAGCAGCTCTGTCCCATTGAGATCCCAGGAAGGGATGAGCCCCTCTCATGCAGGTGTGGAGGGGACCTGGCCGAGCCAGGGGTGCCCAGCAGGGACGTGGGGACGTGGGGACATCTCCCCCACAGCTCTGCTCTGGGTTCTTTGGTTTCTGGGTTGCCTGGGAGGGCAGGGAGCAGGCTGGGAGCGGGCTCTGGCAGGTGGGATGATTCATTCCCACGGAGCAGGAGCGGATTAAAGGAGCCTGGGAAGGGAATCAGGAAGGGCAGGGCTGCCCCGGGCACGGCCCAGCCTTGTGGCCACATGGCCCCGTTCCCAGCCCTGCTGGGGGAAGCACAGGGGAGCCAGCAGCCCCCGAGGCTGTGGTGGCTCCTGCTGGGTGGGCTGGGGGTGTGGGTGGATTTTGGGAGCGTTTGGGATGTGCTGGGTGCTCTTGTGGGGAAGGGGAAACCGAGGCCCAGCCGCAGCGCCAGGCAGAGGGGACTGCAGGGAGGGAATCAGCCGGGTCCAGAGGGATCAGGCAGCACAAACCATCCTGGATTCCTCCCTGGGGAAGCAGGAGGAGCTGGCAGAGCCAGTGGATGCTGGGGAAGGGATCCTGGCAGAGGTCACTGGGAATGCCCATCTGGGAAGCCCAGGGATCTCTCCAGGGATGGAGGGAAGGAGGGCGCAGCAGTTTCCAGCCTTTACCCTCGCCTGGGGCACAGGGGATGCAAACCCTGGGCGGCCTGGGGGGCTCCTGGGCTCTGCCCCTCTCCCCTGCTGCACTTCTGGCAGCAGCTGCAGGGCTCAGAGCAAAGCTGCCAGCACAGGGCAACCTCCCAGGAGATGGCATCAGCACTCCTGCCCACCTGGGACAGGTGACATCCCTGCAGCCCCTGCCCCGATTCCCAGAGCTCCCGGTGCCCCAGGAGCCGCTCATTTGCTGCTTTTCCCATGGAACAGCAGCCCCGGGGCTGCTGCTGCCAGCTGAGCTCTTCCTGCTGCTGCTGCTGCTGCTGCTGATTCACGGGGGCTGCAGGGCCGGAGCAGTTAATGAGTAACTGGTTCTACCTGTAGGATGAGGCAGAACGTGTCGGGGCACTGGCGGCTGGGGAGGAACCAGGCCTGCAGGGATCACTGGGATAACGGGAATGGCTGGGACGGGGCTGGGGAGGCTCCCAGAGGGAGGGACAACGCCAGGCCCCTCCAGCTTTGGCATCCCCGTGTTTGGGAGCTGAAGGGCAGCAGATTTCAGGGCTGATCCCACAGCTCCTGTGCTCAGCCATTCCCTCCATCCCCTCCATCCCTCCCAGGCCTGCGGGGCGAGGGAAATGTTCCATTTGCTCCTTGCCACACCAGGGGCTGTGGAGGCTGCAGGAGGGCACACAGCCCGGGCCAGGGAGGGTCCCAGAGGGAGGGACAACGCCAGGCCCCTCCAGCTTTGGCATCCCCGTGTTTGGGAGCTGAAGGGCAGCAGATTTCAGAACTAATCTCTGGTGTCCCCATATGCAGGTATAGTTTCAACCAAAACATTAGAAGTGACTCTAAAAATAGAAGTTAAACCCTTCTTTCCTGCTGAGGAGAGGTAAAGCCAGCCAGAACTGCTCACTCCTGTATCTGAGTATAGAACCTCAGGCTCCTTCCTTTCAAAGGATAGCAGTAATCCAGTGGTCACAGGAGCCACTCATCTTGGTGCAAGTCCAAGTGGAAGGAACGGGCCTCTCACCAGTCCTAAATACATTCAGACTCTTAACCCCAGTAACCCTCTCCACCCCCATCCTATTTCCTCTTCTATCCAACAACCTCAAGGACACCCCCAGCACAATGACAAACACAATCAAAACCTCCTTTTCAGTCAGCCTAATCCCAATAACAATCTACATGCACTCCAGGACAGAAGCCTCACCTCCCATTTTGCCACAGCTCCCGTGCTCAGCCATTCCCTCCATCCCCTCCATCCCTCCCAGGCCTGTGGGGTGAGGGAAATGTTCCATTTGCTCCTTGCCACACCAGGGGCTGTGGAGGCCCTGCCTCTCCCTCCTGCCTGCGGGAGGACCCCTCTGGAAGCTCTTTCCCAATGTCCTGCTGCTCTCCCAGCTCCCACGCTGCTCTTTCCCCTCGGTGCCTTGCTCATTCCTGGCAAGTTTGGCTGCCACATCCCCAGCAGCAGCAGCAGCAGTGCCCCAGCAGCCGTGGCTTGTGCTGTTCCTTATCTCTGTGCCCATGATTTTATCACTTCACCCTCTCCCCACTCCCAGGTGCTGCTGGTGCCCTTATCCTGTGTTTTGTTATTGCTGCACCCGTGACCAGCTGCTCTTTGCTCTGCATTTGTGACACAAATACCATTTTTCTTTGCCCTGCATTTGTGACACAAATACCATTTTCCTTTGCTCTGCATTTGTGACACAAATACCACTTTTCTTTGCTCTGCATTTGTGACACAAATGCCGTTTTTCTTTGCTCTGCATTTGTGACACAAATGCCATTTTTCCTATGCTGAGCTGCCCCACTGAGGCCTTTGCTGTGTTCCCTGAATTCTGTTCCATAGCTGGAAAACTGGAGGGAGGATTCAAGCAGGGAAGGTTTAACTCATGTCCTAAAAACAGCAACCCAAATTCAGCGAGGCCCTGGAAGTGAAATGTGCCTGTGCCCCCCCTCTTTTCCAGGCCAGGAGCCCCAGCTTTAGGTCAGGATCTCCTCAGAGGCTCCCAGCACGTTGGCAAGGAGACCCAACAACAAACAGCCCATCCTGGGCTCCTTTCCCAGGAATCCTGCTGGGAAGATGTTCTGGGAATGTCCCTTCCACCTGCCCTGATCTGCTTTTCCCTGTATCCTCGGCACAGATTATTCAGAAGCAGGAAAACCAAAAGGAGAACTTGGACCAGAGGTTCCCCAGCCTGTTCAAGAAGGGCCGAAGGAAAACGGTTGTCAGGAATTTGGGCAAAATGATTTATTACTCCAAGGTCAAGTTTAAGTTCCAGCACTGCCAGGTAAGCCTGAGGCACCTCTGTGCCCAGGGATGGGGGAGAAATTGGGAAAGGAGGGGAAATTCTGGGAAATGGGATCGTGGAGTATTCCCTGGGCTGCTCTGGGCACTGCCACATCTGTGCTGATGGAACCTGGGGCACTTCCATCTGCACAGCTGGGACCCTTGGAGAAGCTTTTCCATGCTTGGGATGCAGAGGGAGGCTGGGAGGTGTCCTGACATAACCCAGAGGTGTCCTGAGATGGCCCCAAAGGTGTCCTGAGACAATCCCAAAGTTGTCCTGAGATGGCCCCAAAGGTGTCCTGAGATAGCCCCAAAGGTGTCCTGAGCTGACCCAACCGTGTCCCTTGTGCAGGAGGTCCACAGCTGCTTCCTGGAGCTGTTCCAGTCCTACCTGTACTTCCAGTCCTCGGGTCCCAACGGCCTCACCTACCAGGTAGGGCTCACCTGGCCGAGCTGGGCTCTGGGCTCTGTGGCCACACTGGGGGAGCTGGGCAGACAAACCAAGGGAGGAGCAAACAGGAGAGCCCCAGGGCCACAGACACGTGGATGGCCAGAAAATGCTCAGCACCAAATTGCTGTCAAGGGTTTGGAGTCACTCAGGAGCCTGTGCCCCCATTCCCCAGCTCTGGGATGGTGCTCACAGGGGTTCCTGGATGAGGGAACAGACGAGGATCTGACTCCATGGTTCACAAGGCTGAATTATTATTTTATTATATATAGTCCATTAAAACTATACTAAAAGAATAGAAGAAAAGGTTTCATCAGAAGGCTGGCTAAGAATAGAATAGCAAAGAATGATCACAAAGGCTTGTGGCTCAGACTCTCTGTCCGAGTCAGCTGGGCTGTGATTGGCCATTGATTAGAAACATCCACATGAGCCCAATCCCAGATGCACCTGTTGCATTCCACAGCAGCAGATAACCATTGCTTGCATTTTGTTCCTGAGGCCTCTCAGCTTCTCAGGAGAAAGAATCCTAAGGAAAGGATTTTCCATAAAATGTGTCTGTGACACCCCACCTCAGCTTTGTCCACCCTGCACTTCCTGCAACACAGACACACTTCAAAGGCTCAGTGAAACCTTGTTTAGAAATAATGCAGGAATTGGGGCACTAAAGATACCACAGAAGGGCAAAGTCCCCCCCGTTTATCCGGGCTTACCTGGGTACCTCCAGGCCCCACAGAGGCAGATCCTTCTGAGCCTGCAGCCATGGAGGTGTCCCCGAGTCCCTTGCACCCCAAAAGGCTGTTCTGTCCCAGAGCCTGTCCCCAGAGCAGCTCAGGGTCACCTGGGCCAGCAGGGAAGCAGCCCAGGGCAGCTGGGAGGTGACCTGGAGCCACCTTTGTGCTGAGCACAGGTACGGGGAGCTGGGCCTTGGCAAGCACCACATCCCCTGGCCTTGGGGCCCATTGGGGTCGTCTCCATCTGCAGGATGGGCTTTGCCAGCATTAATTATCCTGTGGGGAAAGGGGGGGAGAGAAAGCTGAGCCTCAGGGAGCTCTGCTGGCAAAGCACTCATGAATCTTTTAACCTGGTGGTGCTGGGGAGCTGCAAATAATGAATGAAGCGTTGTGCAGCACAGCCAAGCATCCACAGCCGTGAAACAGCAGCCCCTGAGCGTTCTCTTCCTCCACACAACTGAGGAACCAAAACTGAGCACGTTTGGGAGGCGACTGTCAAATCAGTTCCTCTCAGAAAGGATTAATTGGCCTTTAGGTGACTGGAGGTTGATGTAAAACACCAGGAAAACCTCTCCAGTCCCCCCCAGGGCTGCCTTCAACTGGAAATTCCCACGTCAGGAGAAAAACAACGTCTCGAACTCTCCTGACTCCTTCAGACACAGCTCCTGAGTTTATTAATTGTGGAGGAATTAACGAGGAATTAATGTGCCCCCAGGCATTAGAGCCATTAGCATCTTTTGTGGAGGCTGTTTGGGGAGCCCAGGAGAGGCAGGACAAAGCTGCCCCCTGCCCCTGGGCGTTGGCAGAGTGGGAATCCCAATGTGCAGGGTCTGGGAACTGGACAGCTCCACCTTCCTCTAGGGCCAATCCCATTTCTGCCTTTCTCCTGTAAAATCACCATTGCTTTGCTGAGGTTTAGAATGGAAAGAGAAAAATCTAAAGATCCTCCTCAGCCTTTCTCCTGTAATATAAAAGATAGAAAAATATAAATAGATATTTTTTCTACATATAAAATATAGAAAAATATAAATATATATATTCTTTTCTATATATATAATATAGGAAAATATAAATATATATATTATTTTCTATATATAAAATATAGGAAAATATAAATATTTTTTTCTATATACAAAATATAGAAAAATATAAAGGTCCTCCTCAGCCTTTCTCCTGTAATATAAAATATGGAAAAATATAAATTTTTTCTATATATAAAATATAGAAAAATATAAATATATATATTCTTTTCTATATATATAATATAGGAAAATATAAATATATCTGTTCTTTTCTATAGATAAAATATTTTTAAAAATATAATTTTTTTTTCTATATATAAAATATAGAAAAATATAAAGGTCCTCCTCAGCCTTTCTCCTGTAATATAAAATATAGGAAAATATATTTTTTTCTATTTATAAAATATAGAAAAATATAAAAATATATTTTTTCTATATATAAAATATAGAAAAATATAAAGGTCCTCCTCAGCCTTTCTCCTGTAAAATCACCATTGTTTTGCTGAGGTTTAGTATGGAAAGAGGGAAAATCCTGTGGAATATTTGGGTATTTCTCATCGTGGCAGAGGATTTCTGCAGGATGGAGCCCCAGGTAACCCCTGCTCTCCTTCCCCAGGGGCTGCTGCCTCTGAAGGAGCTGCAGGTGCAGGAGCTGGGGCCTGGCCAGAGCCCGGGGCAGCAGGACCACGCTCTGCACATCTCAGGTGGGTCCAGGACCACACTTTGTACATCTCAGGTGGGTCTGGGGGGCTGCAGGACCACGCTCTGCACATCTCAGGTGGGTCTGGGGGGCAGCAGGACCAGGCTCTGCCCATCTCAGGTGGGTCCAGGACCACGCTCTGCACATCTCAGGTGGGTCCAGGACCACGCTCTGCCCATCTCAGGTGGGTCTGGGGGGCTGCTGGGCTCAGGGAACCTGGGGAGGGGACAGGGGTGGGTCTGTCCCTGTGCCAGCCCCTGGGCACACACAGGGCGCCCACTGCAGCAGCGCCAGGCGTGTCCTGAGTTCCCTTCCTCATTTTCTCTTCCTCCTGGGCGCTTTTTTAGATGTGGCAATGGGTGATGCCCCCGGGGTGTGCCCGGGGGTGGGGGTCACGCCCTGGCAGCAGGATCCCTGCTGGCTTTAATTTGCATTTACCATTGGTGTGAGGAGCTGGATGCCCAGGGAATGCCCCGAGAGCTGCAGCACCAGGGAAGCCAAGGGAGGAGGAAACAGGAGAGCTCCAGAGCCACGTGGATGGCCAGAACATGCTCCACACCAAATTGCTGTCATGGGTTTGCAGTCACTCAGTGCCCCCATTCCCCACCTCAGCTTTGTTTACCCTGCACTTCCTGCAACACAGACACACTTCAAAGGCTCAGTGAAACCTTGTTTATAAATAATGCAGGAATTGGGGCACTAAAGATACCACAGAAGGGCAAAGTCCCCCCCATATATCCGGGCTTATCTGGGTACCTCCAGGCCCCACAGAGGCAGATCCTTCTGAGCCTGCAGCAAGCAGGGTTTAATATGGGCTCAAAGGTAAATTATTAATCACAACATCCACCCTGCATCCTGCCAGGATGGTTATTGCCCTCAGCAGGCTGTGCTGGGAGCACAGGGTGTGGGAGGCTGCGCTCATGCCCTGAGATCAGTGAGAGCTGCAAACTCTAAAATCAACAACTGCAGGGCTGTCCCTCCCTGCCAGGGGATGTCTGGAGTCATCCTCAGCTTGGCTGGCATGGGTTAGATTGGGTGAGGCAATAAATAAACAAACAGTGCCAGAAAGCTGCTGGTGTTCCACATCTGGAGAGCCAGGGTGAAACTGGGAGATAACACAGGGGGAGCAGCACCTTGGGACAGTCCCTGCCCACACAGAACCTTCCCACGAACTGCTGGGGGGGTGGAAAGCTGAAATCCACCTCTGCAGGCCAGGCTGGGCTTTTGGGCTGACTTTGGGGTTTCTTCTTGGCCTGGTTTGGGGTGAAAGTGTCTGGCGGTCAGGGCTTGGCGTGTGTAAGGTGATGTGACAAAAGGGTGGCAGGGAGGGCTGGAGGGGGTGGCAGCAGAGCCTGGTGTCCCCACAGCCCTTGGATGATGGATGGATGGATGGATGGATGGAGGGATGGACGGATGGAGGGATGGATGGATGGAGGGATGGATGGATGGATGGATGGATGGATGGAGGGATGGATGGATGGATGGATGGATGATGGATGGATGGATGGATGGAGGGATGGATGGATGATGGATGATGGATGGATGGGTGGATGGATGATGGATGGATGGATGGATGATGGATGGATGGATGGATGGAGGGATGGATGGATGATGGATGGATGGATGGATGGATGATGGATGATGGATGATGGATGGATGGATGGATGGATGGATGGATGGATGGATGATGGATGGATGGATGGATGATGGATGGATGATGGATGGATGGAGGGATGGATGGAGGGATGGATGGATGATGGATGGATGGATGATGGATGGATGGATGATGGATGGATGGATGATGGATGGATGATGGATGATGGATGGATGGATGGATGATGGATGGATGATGGATGGATGGATGGATGGATGATGGATGGATGATGGATGGATGGATGGATGATGGATGGATGATGGATGGATGGATGGATGGATGATGGATGGATGATGGATGGATGGATGGATGATGGATGGATGGATGGATGATGGATGATGGATGGATGGATGGATCCATGGATCCATGGATGGATGGATCCATGGATGGATGGATGGGTGGATGGATGGATGGATGGATGGATGGATGGATGGATGGATGGATGGGTGGATGGATGATGGATGGATGGATCCATGGATGGATGGATGGATGGATCCATGGATCCATGGATGGATGGATGGATGGATGATGGAGGGAGCCGTGGATGGAGTGACTGGTGCAGGCTCCATCCCCCAGCGTCCCAGCTGTGCCCTGAGGGCTGGTGGGGGGTGGCAGCAGAGCCGTGGTGTCCCCAAACCCAAGGATGGCTGAGCACTGTGCCAGCTGTGCCAGCTGTGCCAGCTGGCTCCCGATGGATGCTGCTGCCGCCCCTGCCCAGCTCTGCTCTGCTCACCCCAGCTCTCCTGCCCCCAGGGCCCCTGCTGAACCCCCTGGTGGTGTTCTGCCAGTCCGAAGCCGAGCTGAAGCAGTGGCTGTACCACCTGGAGAAGCAGATCCAGCTCTGTGGAGGGAGCCTGGCCCTGCCCCTGCTGTCCCAGGTGGGTGTGCTTGTCCCACTGCTGGCTCCCAGCTGGGACTCTGGGGTGGATTCCCTTTTGGGGGTTTTCCTGGGGGAAAAAAGGGTGCAAGGAGAGCTTGCAGGAGGGGTCTGAGATTCACTGTGCTGGGGGGAAGAGCTGCCACCCACGGGTGGCACCAGCAGCACAACCTCCATGGGGTCACAGCTTGGGTCAGCCTCAGAGAAGCTCTCGTGCTTTTGGGTGCTTGTGCAACCACCCAGAGCTTGCAAAACATCAGCAGGAGGAGGCTGAAGCCTAGAAAACAGAGAGGAATTGTCTCTCCAGTCTCTGGGGGTGTTTCAATGCCCTCCCCACTTGTCAAACACAAATATCTCCCTTGGAAAGGCATTTCCAGGGATGCTCGGTGTGGAGGGTGACAATCCACTGCCAGCTGCAAAACTGCCTCCTGCCCAGATTTATCTGCCCTTTCCAGCTCCTGCCACACCAAAAAGGCATCCCCAGGTGGGGCAGGCCTGGCTGAGGGCAGGGGTGGTCAGTGTGTCTGTCCCTAGAGCCCCGGGGACAAGGAGGAGCTGCGCTGGTCCGTGCAGAACCTGCCCGTGCAGGACTGGAGGGGAACCCAGCGGGAATCCCTGGGGGAAATCCTCTGCCTGTCCAAGGTGAAGCTCCAGCACCTGCCCTTCCAGGTAGGACACGGCTCCGATGAGGGAGGGAGGGATGGAGGGAACCGTGGATGGATGGAGGGATGGATGGATGGATGGGTGGATGGATGGATGATGGATGGATCCATGGATGGATGGATGGATGGATGATGGATGCAAGATGAATGATGGATAGATGATGGATGGATCCATGGATGGATGGATCGATGATGGATGGATGGATGGATGGATGGATGGATGGATGGATGGATGGATGATGTACAGATGGATCCATGGATGGATGGATGAATGGATGGATGGATCCATGGATGGAGCTATGGATGGAGGGAGCCATGGATGGATGGATGGAGGGAGCTATGGATGGATGGATGGGTGGATGGATGGATCCATGGATCCATGGATGGATGGATGGATCCATGGATGGATCCATGGAGGGAGCCATGGATGGAGGGAGGGAGCCATGGATGGAGTTACTGGTGCAGGCTCCATCTCCCAGCACAGGGAGCAGCCTGGCCCTTCCCAAATCCATCTCCCATCTCAGCTCAGCTCAGGTGTTCCCAGAGCCCTTGCCCCAGGCTGCTGCCAGGAGAACCAAGGCCAGGGCTCTCAGCTCTGAGCCCGGGCTGTTCCCAGGGCTGCAGCCCTCTCCCTCTGTGCCTCCCCAGGAGCAGCACGAGCGGCTGCTGGTGCTGTACCCCTCCACGCTGGTGATCGTGTCCGAGGAGCCCGGCGGCCTCTGCTTCAAGGTGAGCTCCCCTCAGAGCATCCTGCTGCTCCCCACCTGCATTCCTGTGCCCCTGGCATCCCTCCCGTGCCAGCTGGCAGGGAGCAGGCGCAGCGATGCTGCAAGATCCCTTCCCATGAGAAACACCTTGCTCTGCTCCAGCAGCCCAGGGGGAAGGAGCTGCCTGCCAAGGAGTCTCTGGGAGGAGGAGGAGGAGCAGGGAGGCTGTGCTGGCAGGCAGCTGCTGCAGGCAGGAGCTGGCACAGCCCCAGAGAGCCCCTCGGGGGGCTTTTCCCCCCGGGCTCTGTGCCAAGGGAGCATTTGGAGCTGGGAGCAGCCTGGCAGCAGAGCAGATGCTGTGGGGAAGGGCGCAGGAGGGGAGGGGAGGGCTGGCTGCTGCTGCTGCAGCGCTGGCACCGCTCTCCCTCTGCAGGAGCACAAGGGACAGCAGGGACAGGGAGCATCCCAAGGGATGCCAGAGCAGCTTCTCTGCTCTGCCTGCCCGCGGGAGCAGCGCCGGTGCCTCAGCGCAGGCAGGGAGAGGCACCGAGCACTCAGAATGGCCCTGAAATCAGCCAGTGACAGCCCCGGTGGCACTTGGGGACACAGCTGAGTGGGAGCAGGGCTGTGCTGGTTAATGGCTGGTGCTCGAGGGCCTCTCTGCCCTTTCCTCCCCGTGATTCTGTGATCTCCAGCATCCTTTGATGGCTCACTCAGAGCTCTCTGCTCCTCCTGCGCTGGAACAAATGCGCCAGAAGGAGCAGTGACCTGTCTGTGACCCCGGAGCTGCTGCTCTGCTGCATCCCTGAGTCACCGAGCCGGGACAAACAGCCCTGCAGGGCTGCAGGGCTGCGAAATGCATTGTGAACCCCCCTGGGTACAAACAACCCTGCAGGGCTGTGAAATGCATTGTAAACCCCCCCGGGGACAAACAGCCCTGCAGGGCTGTGAAATGCACTGTGAACGCCCCCAGGGACAAACAGCCCTGCAGGACTGTGAAATGCACCATGAACCCCCCTGGGCACAAACAACCTTGCAGAGCTGCAGGGCTGTAAAATGCACCCTGACCCCCCCGGGGCCCTGCCCCACATCCTGCAGAATTGCACTCCCCCCAGACACCACAAACCATAGAAAACAGTGATGAAACAGTGATGTACTGGCAAACCAAGCAGCATCAGAGTTGCTATCTTAGCCACCATGTCCGTCACACTCCTTCCTATTCCCCTATAATCCTTACCATTGTCTAAGAAACTTAGGATCACCTGAACCCAAGGCCTTCAAAGCCTTAAGCAACAGTTAAACCCTCTTAGTTTCTGCTGAAGCCCACAGGCTGTTACTCTGCATCCCCTAAATGCAACTCAGGAGCTTTAATTAAGCCAGGACCTTCCAATGTACTCAGGGATGGGCTTTGATGCCATGATACTGCAGTTTACAGCTATATGCCCTAACCAGCAGGCTCTGCCTAAGGCTCTGGTACATAACCCATGCACATCAATGAGCTTGCAACTCACTGTGAACTTCACCAGAGAGCTGATAAGGAGAGGAATTGAACCTCTGTACAAAGGACTGCAGCCTAACGCTTACACACTCAGCCATCTCACCTGTGACGTTCATGTTTTATTTTTATTCATTCATTAACCCATGATTATTTTTATTCATTCATTAACCCATGATTATTCTCAACTAATCACAAAGACGGCTGTGATTAATTGAGAACAATCGTCATCCCTGGGAAGAGCATCCCCGGGAGAGCAGGGCCATGAGCAGGCAGAGCTCTCCCCATCCCACAGCAGCTCTGGACACACCCAGGCCCTGGCTTTGGGAATGTGCTGTTTGCAGCTCCTGGGAATGGGGCACCCCGCGAGGGGGCCTGGGCTGGGCTCTCCCATGAGCTCATCTCTTTTGAAACCCTAAACCTGCCGCTGTTCCCTTCCCAGGGATGCTCCCTTCCCACGGTGCTGATTCACCAGCCTGTGACAGGAACCTGCTTTTCCAGAGGCGTGTCAGGGCACGGGGCTGCTGCACTTGCCCTGCCCGCAGCCCTGCAGCTGCACAGGCACCGCAGGAGCTGCCCCTGCCAGGGCTGTGGGGCGGGGAAGGGGCTGGCATGGGGCTCACCCCAATGCTCTGATGGGAAAAGGCCCTGGCAGAGGTGGGAACCAGCGAGGGGAGCTGCTGGAGTCATCTGTGGGGTGTTGGTGAGCGTCCCGAGGTGGGAACTTATCCAGAGGGTGGCTCAGCACCAGGAGGCAGCAGGAATCCCAGTGGGATGAGCAGGAGGTGAGGAAATCTCACTGGGATGTGCAGGAGGTGAGGAAATCTGCTGGGATGTGCAGGAAGCAGCAGGAATCTCACTGGGATGTGCAGGAGGTGAGGAAATCTGCTGGGATGTGCAGGAGGCAGCAGGAATTCTGCTGGGATGTGCAGGAAACAGCAGGAAACCTGCTGGGATGTGCAGGAATCCCACTGGGATGTTCAGGAAGCAGCAGGAATCTCACTGGGATGTGCAGGAATCTCACTGGGATGTGCAGGAGGTGAGGAAATCCCGCTGGGATGTTCAGGAAGCAGCAGGATTCCCGCTGGGATGTGCAGGAATCCCACTGGGATGTGCAGGAATCTCACTGGGATGTTCAGGAATCCCACTGGGATGTGCAGGATTCCCGCTGGGATGTGCAGGATTCCCGCTGGGATGTGCAGGAATCTCACTGGGATGTTCAGGAATCCCACTGGGATGTTCAGGAAGCAGCAGGATTCCCGCTGGGATGTGCTGGATTCCCGCTGGGATGTTCAGGATTCCCGCTGGGATGTGCAGGATTCCCACTGGCATGGGCAGGATGCAGCAGGATTCCCGCTGGAATTGCCCCCGTGGGAGCAGAGTTTGGCTGCCCAGGTGCCCCCAGCTGTGCCCCCTGGCACCACAGGAGCTCTGCCAGCCCCGTGGTCCCAGCCCTGCCCCTCTCTCCGCAGGGAGAGCTCCCCCTCAACGCCATCCAGGTGCTCTTTGAGGAGAACGACAAAAGCTCCTTCCTGATCGAAGGTGGGTGTCCGGCACGGGGCGGGGAGGGAGGACAGCAGGAATCCCACTGGGATGTGCAGGAATCCCCCTGGGATGTGCAGGAATCCCACTGGGATGTGCAGGGGGTGAGGGAATCCCACTGGGGTGTGCGGGAATCCCACTGGGATGTGCAGGAATCCCACTGGGATGTGCAGGGGGTGAGGGAATCCCACTGGGATGTGCGGGAATCCCACTGGGATGTGCAGGAATCTCACTGGGGTGTGCAGGAATCCCACTGGGATGTGCAGGAATCCCACTGGGATGTGCAGGAGGTGAGGGAATCCCACTGGGATGTGCAGGAATCTCACTGGGGTGTGCAGGAATCTCACTGGGATGTGCAGGAATCCCACTGGGATGTGCAGGAATCCCACTGGGATGTGCAGGAATCCCACTGGGGTGTGCAGGAATCCCACTGGGGTGTGCGGGAATCTCACTGGGATGTGCAGGAATCTCACTGGGATGTGCAGGAATCCCACTGGGATGTGCAGGAATCCCACTGGGATGTGCAGAGGGTGAGGAAATCCCACTGGGATGTGCGGGAATCCCACTGGGATGTGCAGGAATCCCACTGGGGTGTGCAGGAATCCCACTGGGGTGTGCAGGGTGGCACAGCCACGGGGGGCTCGGGGCTGTGCCCACCCTCCTGCTGGGCAGCCAGGCGAATTTGGGATGCTCTGTGTCCTGCCAGGAGGGCAGAGCATTCCCAGCCCCTGCAGAGCCTGCGGGGCGCAGGGCGGGGTGGATCAGGGGTTTTTGAGGGGGGAATCAGCAGCGGGGGATGTTTTCCCAGGCCGGTTGATAAACTCCATCCGGGTGACCTGTGCCAGCTACCAGGACTACCAGGAGTGGCTCTACTGCCTCAAAACCGCGCAGTTCCGAAACGCCGACTCCTCCCTGTCCGGCTCCGAGAGCTTCTCGGTGGGACCGAAGCCGCCACACCCCGGCCAGGTACGGGAGGCTGCAGGTTTGGGAGGGAGCCCATCCGTGTGACACTCGGGTGACACAGCACGCTGTGCTCCAAGCTGCCAGCAAGCTGCTGATCCTTGGGGAGTACTTAAATAATTAATTGTTATGATTATTTTCAGTTGTTTTGTTATTATTTTCATTTTATTTTAAATTATTTTATTATTATTATTTTCATTTGTTTTATTATTATTTTAATTTTAATTTTAATTATTTTATTATTATTTTCATTTGTTTTATTATTATTTTCATTTTATTTTGAATCATTTTAATGATTATTTTCATTTATTTTATTATTATTTTCATTTTATTTTTAATTATTTTATGATTATTTTCATTTATTTTATTATTATTTTCATTTTATTTTAAATTATTTTTAATATTATTTTCATTTGTTTTATTGTTATTTTCATTTTATTTTAAATTATTTTTATTATTATTTTCATTTATTTTATTATTATTATTTTCATTTTCGTGTTTTTATATTATTTTTATTCTTTACTTTATATTTATTTGAGATCATTATAAAATATTTGTTTTGTATTATTTTAAATTATTTAAATTGTTAATACAGGGCATTATACGGGCAAAAAATGACATTGAATTCTTTCAAAAGCAGAGGCTGGATGTGGTGGTGTTCACAGGGGTCTGAGGGTGAGGGAACAGACGAGGATCTGACTCCATGGTTCACAAGGCTGATTTATTATTTTATGATATATATTCCATTAAAACTATACTAAAATAATAGAAGTAAAGGATTTCATCTAGCTAAGAATAGAATAAGAAAGAATGATAACAAAGGTTTGTGGCTCGGCTCTCTGTCCGAGCCAGCTGGGCTGTGATTGGCCATTGATTAGAAACATCCACATGAGCCCAATCCCAGCTGCACCTGTTGCATTCCACAGCAGCAGATAACCATTGGTTGCATTTTGTTCCTGAGGCCTCTCAGCCTCTCAGGAGGAAAAATCCTAAGGAAAGGCTTTTCCATAAAAGATGCCTGTGACAGCTGCACACGGCCTGTGACTGGCACAAGGACAGGGATGGGGTTTGGACTCCTTGATCCCTGTGGCTCCCTTCCAAGTTGGGATATTCTGTTTATCCTGCCAGGAATGGCAGCCAAGCCGGGGTGGGGCTGCCTGGCACCCCTTTCCTGCTGGGCACCCCCATTGCCCTCACTCACCCCAAAACCAGCACATCCCACAGCCCGCTGCTGGCCATGGGGACACAGCCCCATGGGACACGACAAGGGCTGTGTCCCCAGGGATGCCCTTGTCCCCAGGGCTGTGTCCCCAGGGCTCTCCTTGTCCCCAGGGCTGTGTCCCCAGGACTGTGTCCCCAGGGCTGTGTCCCCAGGGCTCTCCTTGTCCCCAGGGCTGTGTCCCCAGGGCTGTGTCCCCAGGGCTGTGTCCTCAGGGCTCTCCTTGTCCCCTGCAGTTCCCCAGCAGTGCCAGGGGATCCCTCAGCTCTGATGGCCGGACCAACTCCTGGGCGTCCGGGGGCAGAGTGACCACGCTGACCCAGCTGTCCCAGACCAGCGGCTCCCTGCCCGACGCCCCCTCCTTCCTGCTGAGCCCCGAGGGCTGCCTGCTCCAGGAGCCCCTGTCCCCCGGCTACTCCCAGCCTCTCCATGTGAGTGAGCCCCAGAACCAGCCTGGGGTGCCCCTGGGATCCCCTGAGCCCCAGAACCAGCCTGGGGTGCCCCTGGGGATCCCCTGAGCCCCAGAACCAGCCTGGGGTGCCCCTGGGATCCCCTGGGCTGGCGCTGGGTGCTGCCTGTGGTGCTGGCAGTGTTTGTTGTGAGGTTGGAGCAAATCCCTGCCTGCAGCCTGGGCTTGTCCTGGCTCAGCTGGGTCAGGGGAAAGGCTGCTGAGGGATCCCACATCCAGTCACAGTCCCAGCCCAGTCCCATCCCAGTCCTATTTCCAGTCCCATCCCATTCCAGTCCCATTTCCAGTCCCATCCCAGTTCCAGTCCCATCCCATTCCCATCCCAGTCCCAGTTCCAGTCCCATCCCATTCCAGTCCCACTTTCAGTCCCATTTCCAGTCCCGTCCTAGTTCCAGTCCCAGTCCCATCCCAGTCCCATTTCCAGTCCCAGTCTCATCCCAGTCCCAGTCCCATCCCATCCCAGTCCCATTCCCATTCCCAGTCCCATTCCCATTCCCAGTCCCAGTCCCATCCCAGTCCCATTTCCAGTCCCAGTCCCATCCTAGTCCTCTGCCCTGTACTGGAGCTTTTGGGGATTACAAAAGGGCAAGGAGGAGGTTCCAAGGCTGTGAAACCCCAAAATAAAAGCTGCAGGGGGGTGGAGGTGATGGCCAGGCAGGGTTTTTGCTGTGCCCCAGGGCAGGAACCCCAGTCCCAGCCCAGGGATGGCAGAGGGTGTGGGGCAGGGCCCAGGGCAGGACTTGGGCAATTCCCAAGCCTGGAACGATGTCCCTGGGCATCCCCAGCCCGGCAGAGGCAGCTCCAGCCCTGCCCTGTCCTTGCAGAGCCTGGCCCAGCCCGGCTGGACCAGCCCAGGGCTGCCCAGGCAGGAGCTGCGCAGGGGGAGCAGCGCCAGGAAACCCAAGGGCAGGAGCGGCGGGCAGGAGCAGGAGAGGAGCGTCTGCGGCCTCATCCCCGAGCACCCCACGGCAGAGATGCAGTCCCCGGTGTACCAGGAACCCTACTCGGCACAGGGAGCCCAGCAGCACCCCCTGGCACCGCTGGAGATGGGCAGGGTAAGGGAGGGGGGTGGGATGGGGATGGATGAGGGGTCAGGATGGAGGTGGGATGGAAATGGAGGTGGGATGGAAATGGAGGTGGGAAGGGGCTGGATGTGGGATGGGGATGGGGATGGATGAGGGGTCAGGTTGGAGGTGGGATGGGGATGCATATAGGATCAGGATGGATGTGGGGTCAGGATGGATATAGGATCAGGATGGATGTGGGATGGGGCTGGATGCAAGATGGGGATGGAGGTGGGATCAGGATGAATGTGGGATCAGGATGGATGTGGGATGGGGCTGGATGCAGGATGGGGATGGAGGTGGGATCAGGATGGAGGTGGGATGGGGCTGGATGCAGGATGGGGCTGGATCCTCCAGCCTGGGAAAAGCAAGGTTGACCTTTCCCTGCTGGTGCTGCTGGCAGGGACAGGGGCCTGGCAGGTGCTTCAGAGCAGGTGTGAAATCATTGCCATGGGAAAAGGGGCCGTGGGAGGGAGCTTGCAATGGCAGATGGAGCAATGCCTCCCCGAGCCCTGGGATGGATGTGGGCACCAGCTCCTGAGGCAACCCATGAGTGGGAGGTTATTGCCTCATGGGACACAGCCTCCTCTCCCAAGGGTTTTCCAGCATGTCTCCATCAGGTTTTTAGTGTGCTGCCACTTTCCCAAGCCCTCGGTGACTGTTCCTTTAGGAATTCCCCTCCTTGGCCCAGCCAGGAGTCATCCCTGTCCTCCCAGACAGATGAGCAGCATTTGGGACTTTATTTGCAGGCCCATTCCCCACTCCAACCCCTCCTGGGGATGAGCTGTGAGTGCCCTGTCCCCATTTCCATCCTGCCTTGGGGCTGGACAGACAGAGCCGGGCGGGAGCTCAGCCCTCAGCAGCTCCCAGCTGCTCCCCTTTGCCCCGATCCCTGCACTCCCAGTGCTCCCAGTGCTCCCAGTGGGGCCTCCTGCAGCAGCCCCAGCTGGCCCTGACTCAGCAGCCAGGCTCCTGCCCCAGGAGCTGTGCCCGGGGCTGTTCCTCTCCCTGCCATCTGAGCAGGGATGGAAACTCCAGAGCTGCGTTTTTCGGGGTGGGGCAGGGCCCAGCAGAGCTCCCCGTTCCCTCCAGGCAGGGCAGGGCAGGGCAGAGGGGAGCAGGTTTGCCCTGCCTGATCCCCCACCAGACAAAGGCAGGGACAGAGATGTGAGCCAGGCTCCCGAAACTGGAGATGAGTCAGAGCCAGAGCCCTGTCAAAAATCCCAGCTGAGATAAGGCAGTGCCTGGCAAAGGCCACATTTCTGCTCCTGAGCATCTGATAGAGGAAGGCTTCCTGAGCCATCCCCACCCTGGGGTGACCCCCCTGCCCTCCAGGGTCCTTCCCCCCTTCCCTCCAGGGTCCTTCCTGGCTCCCCCCTGCCCTTCTGCACCCCCTGAGCTGCTCCCAGCACGGCTGTGGCTCACGGGGATGAGCCCTGAACTCTGTGCCCACCTGGGCAGAGCTGGTGGGGAGGGCAGAACCAGCAACTCTTGCTTGGCCTGAGTGTGCTGCCAGCAGGGCTGGATTTGGGGTGGGCAGCACCAGGTGGGCATTGGAGGCAGCCCCAGGTGGGCATTGGAGGCAGCCCCAGGTGGGCATTTCCCAGTTCTGCACAACCAGGGTCCATCCTGGGGCTGGATTTGGGGCAGGCAGCACCAGGTGGGCATTGGAGGCAGCCCCAGGTGGGCATTTCCCAGTTCTGCACAACCAGGGTCCATCCTGGGGCTGGATTTGGGGTGGGCAGCCCCAGGTGGGCACCAGGTGTGCTCTGCACAGCCGGGGCCCAGCCCGTTTCTGGGTTTGTTGCAGTTCCTGCAGTGCCACGGGCAGCCAGGAGCAGCCCAGGGGACAGTGCCAGGGGCCCAGCAGCTGCCCCTGGAGCAGTGGCACTGCCAGCCCCTGCCTGGGCACTGCAGGGAGGCACCCACGGTCCCCACCTACAGCACCCCGGGCACCTCGCGCCGGCCGCAGCTGCGGGCACCTGCCCAGGGCTCCTACCTGGGGGAGGTGAGCTGGGAACTGCCCTGGGGGGCAATGGGGACACTCGGGGGGGCAGGGGACACTTGAGGGGTGCAGGGGGGACACTGGAGGTGCAGGGGACACTCGGGGGGTGCTGGGGACACTCAGGGGGTGCTGGGGACACTTGAGGTGCTGGGGGACATTCAGGGGGTGCTGGGGACACTCAGATGGTGCAGGGGACACTCGAGGGGTGCAGGGGGACACTCGGGGGGTGCAGGGGAACAAAGCTGGGGTCCCATCCTGCCTGAGGGGTCCCTGCAGGGCTCTGGGCCCTCTGCTCAGCAGGGATGAGGCCGATGCCCCGCGGGCAGGGTCCCAGGCTGGCGCAGCCGTGCCACCCTCACCAGGCTGTCCCTCTGTCCCCAGATCTGCTCCCTGCCGCAGGAACACCTGGGCCCTGAGCTGCGTCCCCCAGGTGAGGCCCCCATCCTGCTCTGCCCTGCCTCCCCTGGCACCCCCAGAGCTGGCACCTGCATGAGAATTTTGGAATTTCTCTGTAAAAGACAGTTACTTTTAACAGAGAACAGCACCTTTGACACGAGGCCGTAGAGAAAACGTTTAAAATTAAATAACAAAACTAAGATATTAAATATTATTATAAACTTATATAATTATATAGATTTATTATACATAAATTACATAATTTATATATGATATCTTTAGATATAATTATATACTCATATACATAAAATATATAAATATTATCTATCTAAAATAAATAAATATTATTTTAACATATATAAAAGAATTAGAAATATAAATATTCCTCCCCATTTCCCTGCAGATGACACCTGCCCCTGCCAGGACTTGGCATTCCACCACAATAATTATAATTATATTTTTATTTGAATGTTTGTTTGTATATATCTAATTATATATTATATGTTATAGGTTATATGTTGCATATATATATTTATAATAGTAGAAGTCATATATCTATATATTATATATTATTTAAATATATATTTATATATATAAAATTATATATGTAATTATATATAAATACACAATTATAAATATACAATCCTGTTCCCCTGCAGATGGCACCTGCCCCTGCCAAGGCTCCACATCCTACCGCAATAATTATAATTATATTATATATTTTTTGAATGTATATATATATATATATATATATATATATATATATATATAAATTATATGTTGTATATTACATATAAATATATATTTATAATAGTAGGAATCATATATTTTTATATATATATATAAATAAATATATATATGATTCCTACAATTATAAATATATATATTTATATGTAATATACAACAAAAAATTACATATAGACACACAATTGTAAACATGCAATCCCGTTTCCCTGCAGATGGCACCTATGACCCGGCAGATGCCACCTGTCCCTGCGGGGACTCCACGTCCTACCACAATAGTTATAATTATATTATATATTTATATATATAAATTACATGTTGTATATTACACATAAATATATATTTATAATAGTAGGAATTAGATATATATATTTTATATATCTATTTAATATTATAATATATATTTATATATTTATATATAAATACATAAATATATAAATATATAAATATATAAATATATAAATATATAAATATATAAATATATAAATGAAGTATTATCTATAGACACACAATTGTACCTATTTGTCCCCGTCTCCCTGCAGATGGCACCTATGACCTGGCCGATGCCAGCTGCCCCTGACGGGACTCCAGCATAAATATACAAATATAGAAATATATTCATATTTATTGCTACATAAATATATTTATTTTTGATATATAAATATATAAATATACAAATATACAAATATATAAATATATAAATATATTTATTTATATATTTATATAAATAAATATATTTATATATTTATATATCAGATGGCACCTATGACCTGGCCGATGGCAGCTGCCCCTGCCGGGACTCCATGTCCTACCACAATAGTTATAATTATATTATATATTTATTTATTTATATAATGATTTATATATTTATTTATATATTTATATATTTGTATATTCATATATTTCTATATCAGATGGCACCTATGACCTGGCCGACGGCAGCTGCCCCTGCCGGGACTCCACGTCCTACCACGACTACGCGGAGCTGCAGAGCTTCCAGAGCGACCGGAGCTACGACAACCTGTGGGAGGCGGAGGAGCGGGAGCCGGGCAGCCCGCGCGTGTTCCAGGTCTGAGGCTGCTGCCCGAGGCGGGAAAAGCCCCGAGCTCTGCCCCACTGCTGGCAGTGCAGGGCTCATTCCCTGCCCCAAACCCCAGCGTGGGGCTCAGCAGAGCAGCCCCGGCCTAGGTGGGGCTGCAGGAGCAGCTGTGCCCAGGAGGCTGCTCTGAAAATCCAGCTGTGCCCAGGAGGCTGCTCAAAAAATCCAGCTGTGCCCAGGAGGCTGCTCCAAAAAAAATCCAGCTGTGCCCAGGAGGCTGCTCTGAAAATCCAGCTGTGCCCAGGAGGCTGCTCCGAAAATCCAGCTGTGCCCAGGAGGCTGCTCAAAAAAATCCAGCTGTGCCCAGGAGGCTGCTCTGAAAATCCAGCTGTGCCCAGAAGGCTGCTCTGAAAATCCAGCTGTGCCCAGCAGGCTGCTCAAAAAAATCCAACTGTGCCCAGGAGGCTGCTCAAAAAAATCCAGCTGTGCCCAGGAGGCTGCTCTGAAAATCCAGCTGTGCCCAGCAGGCTGCTCAAAAAAATCCAGCTGTGCCCAGGAGGCTGCTCCAAAGATCCAGCTGTGCCCCCTGAAAATCCCAGAGCAAAAAGGGATTATGCTCAAGGCTGCCTTGGGTGAAGGGGAGAACCCAAAAGGTGCCTGGGTTAGTTGGATTCCTTCACATCAGAGCCCTCAGCTGGTCCCTGTGGGCAGGAGGCTGCTCAAAAAACCAGCTCTGCCCTGAAAATCCCAGAGCTCTGCCCCCTGAAAATCCCAGAGCTCTGCCCCCTGAAAATCCCGGAGCTCTGCCCCCTGAAAATCCCAGAGCTCTGCCCTGAAAATCCCAGAGCTCTGCCCCCTGAAAATCCCAGAGCACAAGGGTCAGGCTGCACCGGGTGAAGGGGACTCGGTGTTCAGAGGCAGAACCCAAAGGGGCCTGGGGTACTTGGATTCCTTCCCAGCAGAGCCCTCAGCTGGTCCCTGTGGGGATGCCCTGGAACAGCCACAGCTTCCCCCAGCTCTGGAGGCTGCCAGGATGCCCAGGGCATTGCCCAGCCTTGTCCTCCTGCCAGAGCAGAGGCAGCAGACAGGAGATGGAGGGGAAAAAACCCCAAACCCCAAAACCCAGCCAGGTCTGAGCACTGCAGGGTTTGCTTTCCACCTCCTTCCTGCCACTGCTGCCTCCCAGCCTGGTGCCAATGAAAGTGCCAGGTGATCTGTGCTCCCTGAGCTCTCCCCTGCAGAGGAAACCCCAAATTCCCCCAAATGTGGGAATCCCTCCTTTCCTCCCCGCCCTGGGCTCACCCCAAATGCTGCCTGTGGCTGTCCAGGCAAGGAGGGGAGAAAATCCCCCCCAGGAGAAGCTCCAGGGCAGTGCCAGCAGGGCTGGGGTGTCCCTGACGTCCCCCAGAGCCAGGACAGGACACCAACAAGGGACAGGGCTGTTATTTTCCAGCCTCTTAGGCCAGATCCTTTTGGAGGGTCAGCAGCAACCCCAAATGTCTCCACCTGAGGCTCTGAATTCTTGACCTTTGTTCCCTGCAGAGGCTGCAGCTCAAGCACAGCAGCAAAACCTCTGCTTTGGTTCTTTCCACAACCATTTGTACTTGAATATCTCTGGTTGCTTTTTTGGGGTTTTTCGGGAGGTTCCCAACAAAGTTTACATGTAAAGGCTGAGTGGGTTCTTGTATTTAAATGTAAATGTTGGTGGTTGAAGAGTTGTTGAATTTTCTGGCTGGTGCTCAGTTCTGTAAAACACCTTCAGGAGTGGGTGGGTTCAGGTCTTGGAGCTGTTGTGGTTTTCTCTCAGGTTTGCTCTGTTTTGGGGAGGATTTGTGTCTGATGAGCCCCAAAAGATTGATTTATTCTGAACCACATGTGCGAGGGGACATCCCAAATGTACTGGGAGTGAACATTCTGAGGGTCACCGTCATATTTCAACTGACTCACAACAGCAAAACCTGCAATGATCAAAGGGGGAGAGCCCCTCCTGCTGATATTAAAGTTCCCTGTGGATTTCTGAGATTGGACAGTCCCAGTGTGCATCCCTTGGGATCATCTCCCTCTCTTTGCATCCTCTGGGAGGGAGAATCCAGCAAAATGCACAGGGGCCAGAGAATTGGGAGCTTCTGCCCCTTGTGCCTCTGCTCTGCCAGGGCTGGAAAAGAGGGGGGGAAAGAAAAAAGAGGGAAGGAAAAATCGGAGTGAAAAAAAATCTGAATGAGAAAACATCCGAGGGAAGGAAAAATCAGAGGGAAGGAAAAATCAGAGTGAAGGAAAAATCAGAATGAAGAAAAAGTCAGAGGGAAGAAAGAATCTGAGGGAAGGAAAAATCAGAGTGAAGAAAAAATCCGAGGGAAGGAAAAATCCCAGGGAAGGGAAAATCTGAGGGAAGAAAAAATCAGAGGGAAGGAAAAATCAGAATTAAAGAAAAGTCCGAGGGAAGGAAAAGTGCGAGGGAAGGCAAATTCAGAGTGAAGAAAAAATCAGAGTGAAGGGAAAATCAGAGGGAAGGCAAATTCAGAGTGAAGGGAAATTCAGAGGGAAGGCAAATTCAGAGTGAAGGAAAAATCGGAGTGAAGGAAAAATCAGAGGGAAATTCCGAGTGAAGGAGGTGCTGCAGCCAAGGCCATTCCCAGGAGAAGGGGGAGAGGCTCCCTGGGTGTCCGGCAGGATGAAATCCGGGGCAGCTCCTGGGGCAGGATGAAATCCGGGGCAGCTCCTGGGGCAGGATGAAATCCGGGGCAGCTCCTGGGGCAGGATGAAATCCGGGGCAGCTCCTGGGGCAGGATCAAATACAGGGCAGCTCTCGGGCAGGATGAAATCCGGGGAAGCTCTCGGGCAGGATGAAATCCGGGGCAGCTCTCGGGCAGGATGAAATCCAGGGCAGCTCCTGGGGCAGGATGAAATCCAGGGCAGCTCCTGGGGCAGGATCAAATCCGGAGCAGCTCCTGGGGCAGGATGAAATCCGGGGCAGCTCCTGGGGCAGGATGAAATCTGGGGCAGCTCCTGGGGCAGGATGAAATCCGGGGCAGCTCTGGGGCAGGATGAAATCCGGGGCAGCTCCTGGGCAGGATGAAATACGGGGCAGCTCTCGGGCAGGATGAAATCCGGGGCAGCTCCTGGGGCAGGATGAAATACAGGGCAGCTCCTGGGGCAGGATGAAATCCAGGGCAGCTCCTGGGGCAGGATGAAATACGGGGCAGCTCCTGGGGCAGGATGAAATCCAGGGCAGCTCCTGGGGCAGGATGAAATCCAGGGCAGCTCCTGGGGCAGGATGAAATCCGGGGCAGCTCTCGGGCAGGATGAAATACGGGGCAGCTCTGGGGCAGCACCTGCCTGACTTTTTCATGTGGCTGGCACTGCCGAGCGTCAGCTGAGGGGGCTACGTGCAGGCAGGGGCGCAGCAGGGCCCGGGATGCTCCCCAAGGTCGCTCTGCTTGTGCCAGGCAAGGTGCAAGGTCCTGCCTGCCCCTCCATCCCTCCCTCCCTCCCTCCTGCCGGCCTGGGTCTGGGAGAAACCCTTGGGCACATTGAATCTGTGAGGTTTAATCTCCATTTTGGCTGTGGATAGAAACCCCAGGCATGCCTGGCCTTGCTGCGAGGCAGGGAGGAGAGAGCTGGAAAGGTCAGAGAATAAACCAAGCATTAAAATTTCAGCTGCTCTGCTCCCTGGCGGAGCTGTGGCAGAGGCTCCCAAATCCCCTGGGACCAGCAGGACCTTTCAGTAATTCCTTCCACGGCTGCAGCCAGCTGAGAGCCTCCAGCTCCTGAAATATTCATCACATCCTTCCAGGAGAGGCTGCAGGACAGCACCTTCATTTCCTGCTTCTGTTTGCACCAAGGGGACGCCAAGAAAAATACTTTTCTCTTCACTCTGATTTTTCCTTCCCTCGGATTTTTCCTTCCCTCTGATTTTTCCTTCCCTCTGATTTTTCCTTCCCTCTGACTTTTTCTTCATCCTGGTTTTTTCTTCATTCTGATTTTTCCTTCACTCTGAATTTTCCTTCCCTCAAATTTTTCCTTCCCTCTGATTTTTCCTTCACTCTGATTTTTCCTTCCCTCAGATTTTTCCTTCCCTCAAATTTTTCCTTCCCTCTGAATTTTCCTTCACTCTGAATTTTCCTTCCCTCTGATTTTTCCTTTACTCTGAATCTTCCTTCCATTTTTTCTTTTTTTTTCTTTTTTAATTCCGATTTTTTTTTTCCCCTCTGATTTTTTTCACTCTGATTTTTTTTATTTTTTCCCCACTGGGGATTTTCTGGGAATTTTCTGGCCCCAGAGGAGTGTGGAGGGCACCTGTGACCTGAGGGCTCTGCTCTGAAGGGTCACACAGCAAATGTCACAGACAGCAAAGGGTGACAGGCACCTCCTGCCACCCCCAGAGCACTCCTGGGATCAGCTCTGGGTAAATCACTTGGGCCAGGGCTAAACCCAGTGGGGCGTTGGTGTTCACAGGGCTCCCAGGATGAGGGAAGGGATGAGAATCTTGACTCCATGTTTCAGAAGGCTGATTTATTATTTTATTATATATATTATATTAAAAATATAATATAATATAATATAATATAATATAATATAATATAATATAATATAATATAATATAATATAATATAATATAATATAATATAATATAATATAATATAATATAATATACCTTCTTTTAGTATAGTTTTATATTATTTATATGTATAATATTATATATATAAATAATATAAAACTATACTAAAAGAATAGAAAAAAGGATTTCATCAGAAGGCTTGAAGGGAATAGAAAAGAATGAGAATAAAATCTTGTGACTGACCAGAGTCCGAGCCAGCTGGACTGTGACTGGCCATTAATTAGAAACAACCACATGAGCCCAATCCCAGATGCACCTGTTGCATTCCACAGCAGCTGATAACCATTGCTTGCATTTCCTTTCTGAGGCCTCTCAGCTTCTCAGGAGGAAAAGATCCTGGCCAAGGGGTTTTTCCTAACACCTGCCTGTGCCCTGGACAGGGGATGCAGCTCCGGGAGTGCCTGGGCACAGAGGGATGGGCAGCAGGGAGGGGATGCAGAGGGATGGGGAGCAGGGAGGGGATGCAGAGGGATGGGCAGCAGGGAGGGGATGCAGAAGGTGGGGAGCAGGGAGGGGATGCAGAGGGATGGGGAACAGGGAGGGGATGCAGAGGATGGGGAACAGGGAGGGGATGCAGAGGGATGGGCAGCAGGGAGGGGATGCAGAGGGATGGGGAGCAGGGAGGGGATGCAGAGGGATGGGCAGCAGGGAGGGGATGCAGAGGGATGGGCAACAGGGAGGGGATGCAGAGGGATGGGGAATAGGGAGGGGATGCAGAGGGATGGGGAGCAGGGAGGGGATGCAGAGGGATGGGCAGCAGGGAGGGGATGCAGAGGGATGGGGAGCAGGGAGGGGATGCAGAGGGATGGGGAGCAGGGAGGGGATGCCACAGGGATGGGGAGCAGGGAGGGGATGCCACAGGGATGGGGAGCAGGGAGGGGATGCAGAGGGATGGGGAACAGGGAGGGGATGCAGAGGGATGGGCAGCAGGGAGGGGATGCAGAGGGTGGGCAGCAGGGAGGGGATGCAGAAGGTGGGGAGCAGGGAGGGGATGCAGAGGGATGGGGAATAGGGAGGGGATGCAGAGGGATGGGCAGCAGGGAGGGGATGCAGAGGGATGGGCAGCAGGGAGGGGATGCAGAGGATGGGCAGCACGGAGGGGATGCAGAGGGATGGGGAGCAGGGAGGGGATGCCACAGGGATGGGCAGCAGGGAGGGGATGCAGAGGGATGGGCAGCAGGGAGGGGATGCAGAGGGATGGGCAGCAGGGAGGGGATGCAGAGGGATGGGGAACAGGGAGGGGATGCACAGGGATGGGCAGCAGGGAGGGGATGCAGGCGGTGCCCCCTGCTCCGTTCAGGGCTGCCCAGAGCCCCTGAGCCAGGAGGGGCCCGTGGAAGGGGCTGCTGGTGCCAGGCTGTGCCTCAGAGGGACAGGACAGGGACCCAGGGGACGCTGGCCCATGGCCCTGCCTGCTCTGTGCCCAAACCCCTCAGCTCCTGCAGCTCTGCTGCCCTCACACACACACACACACACAGATAGACACACAAACTGTACACAGAGACACACAAACACTCACACACACACACACAAACACACACAGATAGACACACAGACACATACACACACACACAAACACTCACTCACACATTGATTCATCCTCCTGCAGGGCCCAGCGCTCCCTCGACGGCTCCCCACAGACACAGGGACGGACACAGGCGTAGTAAATGAGACAGAAGTTTATTGGAAGCTTCCAGCACGTTCCATCAGCTCTCCCCCTGCACAGAAGCCCTCTCGGTGGGTGTGCAGCTGCTCCAGGCCACGCAGAGCCTGTCCAGCCCTGAATCCCAGGCCCAGATCTCTCTGTACCAGCCCACAGCCTCCAGCCCACCCCTGCAGCCCTCAGAGCCTCTCAGCACAAGGAAAGGAACCTCCCCTCTCTGCTGTCCCCCCACAAACACCCTGGATCTCAACCCCAATCCCTCCCTGGTGCTGTCACCAGGCAGGCGAGGGGAGGAAATTCCTCCTGATAATGCCCTGGGTGCTGAGGGAGGCACTGGGGGAACTGAACCGTTTCATTTTCCACTTTCCATTCCACGCTCCCCTCACCCCACGCCTCCCTTTGCCTCTCCAGGACGGGAGGCACAAAAGGAAATAAATCAAACACCCGGAGCCTTTCCCTGCTGCTTGGCACAGCCAAACCTGCCCTCCTCCTCCTCCTCCTCCTCCCTCCGGCCCAACATCCTCCTGTCCCCTTTCCTGAGCCTCCCCGAGCCCAGCCCCTGTCCCCGCTGCCCTTCCCGGGCTGTGCAGTCCCTCGGTCCCTTCCCCGAGTGACCCCTGCCCGTCCTTGCTGCGGGACGGGGACGTGTCCCTGTCCCAGCTGTCCCCAGGGACAGAGCCGCGGCGGCAGAAACCCCATCCCCGAGCTGGGCCTTCTTGGGAGTGAAACCCAAGAGGGCTTTGATCGTCCCGGAGCGATCATGGGAGCGCTTGGCAGCGACCCCTGCATCCCTCCGGGAGCTGCTGCCCAGCCCAGGCTCTGCCAAGCTCTTCCCAAAGCTCCTTCAGAGACATCCCGGATCCTTTGTCGGGATGAAGCACTTGCCTGCTTCCTCCGTGCCTTCCTGTGCCACCTCCGAGCATCCCTGTGCCACCTCCAGGTGACTCCAGCGGGGAGGAGGGACCAGCAGGGCACTGCCAGCCCCTGTCCTGTCCTGTCCTACCGTCAGTTCCCGTCCCCGGGAGGCTCCCGCTCCTGTCCGGTCGGGGATGGGGCCGGGGAAGCTCTCGGGGCTGGCTCCAGGCTTCTCCCAGTGTCCAGAACAAAGCCCCGGCCCCGGGCGGCGGCTCCGGCGCGGCAGGGGTTAAGTCCGGGGGTGCCCTTCCCTGACCGTCCTTCGGAAGTAGCGGATGGCCGAGAGGGTGCCAAAGCTTGCCAGGAACACTGGAAAAGAGCCCAGGGCATTCCCACCGTCACTCCGGTCCCGAAGTGCTCGGGGGACACGCGGGGGTCGCTCCTGTCCCTTCCCCTGTCCCCTCTCCTGCCTGGGGTTTGCATTCCCAGCGCACAGAATTTGCTCCTGTCCCATCCCCTGCCCGGGGTTTGCATTCCCAGCACACGGAATTTGCTCCTGTCCCCTCTCCTGCCCGGGGTTTGCATTCCCAGCACACGGAATTTGCTCCTCTCCCCTCTCCTGCCCGGGGTTTGCATTCCCAGCACACGGAATTTGCTCCCAGAGCGTTCCCAGATGCTCACAGCCTGACCGGGCACATCCAGGGTGGGAGTTTGGGGTGCATGGGGACACCCCCATGCCATGAAAAGGGCAGGTTTAGGGGAAATGCTCAGTAGGGTCCCTGGGTGGTGGGCACTGGTTGGATGCTGAGATCCAGAGGGAGGTTTGTGGATGGGGTTTATGGACACCAGGTCCAGGTGGGGATTTCGTGGATTGGCTGGAGTCACAGATTCGGGTGGAGATTTGGTCTTGGATGAGAGAAAGACACACAAGGAAAACCCCAGCAGGGCTTCAGGACAGCACCTTCATTTCCTGCTTCTGTTTGCACGAGGAGGACGCCAAGAAAAATCCCATTTTGGGATTTTCTGGCCCCAGCCAAACGCAGAAAATATCCAAAGCTCCAAATCAAAGATGTAGGGACACAAGAAATAACTAAGGGGGGGGAAACCCAAACCAAGCTCTGCTCTGTCCCTGCACCCAAAGTTTTTCATTTGGTTTATAAGGGACATTAGGTTCTCTTGAGCAAAACCAGGAATCCAAACCATGTTTTTAGACCCCACACTTTAAATTCAGACTGGATTTTGATTGATGAGCTAGAGGAACACAAACTCAGCTTGTTGGAAGCCCAAATTCCCCGAGAGAGAGCGGCTGCTCCGGGCTCTGGAGCCACTCCTGCCTCCCTCCTCTCCAGGTTATCCCACCTGGGGCAGCAGGAGCTTATCCCCCTTTCCAGCCCTTTCCTGGGGACATTTCCTCCATCCCAAACCCTCAGCAGGAGGGGGAGCAGGCCAAGAGCTGCTGGGGAGGATGGCAGGGAGCAGCCTTAGCTCAGGAGCTATTCCCAGCCCGCGGTGTCAGCTGCCTGCTGACCTTAGCAGGGAACATTCCTCGCCTGCAAGAGCAGCAGGAAGCCTCAATCCTGGCATTGCTTCCCATGGAAGGGCTCTGTGGGACAGGAATTGGGAATGCTGCTCTGGGAGGGCTCTCCAGGCTGCATCCAGGGCAGGGATTGGGAATGCTGCTCTGGAAGGGCTCTCCAGGCTCATCCAGGGCAGGAATTGGGAATGCTGCTCTGGAAGGGCTCTCCAAGGATTCCAGGGCAGGAATCAGGAATGCTGCTCTGGAAGGGCTCTCCAAGGATTCCAGGGCAGGGATTGGGAATGCTGCTCTGGAAGGGCTCTCCAAGGGTTCCAGGGCAGGAACCAGGAATGCTGCTCTGGAAGGGCTCTCCAGGCTCATCCAGGGCAGGGATTGGGAATGCTGCTCTGGAAGGGCTCTCCAGGCTCATCCAGGGCAGGGATTGGGAATGCTGCTCTGGGAGGGCTCTCCAAGGGTTCCAGGGCAGGGATTGGGAATGCTGCTCTGGAAGGGCTCTCCAAGGATTCCAGGGCAGGAATTGGGAATGCTGCTCTGGAAGGGCTCTCCAAGGGTTCCAGGGCAGGGATTGGGAATGCTGCTCTGGAAGGGCTCTCCAAGGATTCCAGGGCAGGAATTGGGAATGCTGCTCTGGAAGGGCTCTCCAGGCCACATCCAGGGCAGGAACCAGGAATGCTGCTCTGGAAGGGCTCTCCAAGGATTCCAGGGCAGGAATCAGGAATGCTGCTCTGGAAGGGCTCTCCAAGGGTTCCAGGGCAGGAACCAGGAATGCTGCTCTGGAAGGGCTCTCCAAGGGCTCCAGGGCAGGAATCAGGAATGCTGCTCTGGAAGGGCTCTCCAAGGGTTCCAGGGCAGGAACCAGGAATGCTGCTCTGGAAGGGCTCTCCAAGGATTCCAGGGCAGGGATTGGGAATGCTGCTCTGGAAGGGCTCTCCAGGCTCATCCAGGACAGGAACCAGGAATGCTGCTCTGGAAGGGCTCTCCAAGGGCTCCAGGGCAGGAATCAGGAATGCTGCTCTGGAAGGGCTCTCTAAGGGTTCCAGGGCAGGAATCAGGAATGCTGCTTTCCCAGAGCCCTGCTCACCCAGCCATTCCCACTCCTGTAGAGAATTTCTGTCTCCTCAGCTTCCTCTTTCCTCACCATCTTCCAAAAGCTGGGCTTGGAGAGGAGAGGATCCCACTGATCTCCAGGGAATTGCAGGACTCAGTGCAGGAGGATGATGGGGAGAAGATTAAACTTCCTCTTCCTCTTTGGGGGGAAGATTAAACCTTCCGAGCACCTCAGAAAAACACAGGAATTTTGGTGCTGGATGAAGGTTTAACCTCAACTTTGGCCATGGACCAAACACCCCAGGCAGGCTCGGCCTTGCTGCGAGGCCAGTTTGTGTTGGGAATTTCGTTCCTGCTGGGATGAGGGAACCTAAGGAGGTCTTAAGGAAGTCCTGCCCAACTGAGCCCTGTCAGGGATCCTGGATGGAGCAGAACCAAGGCTGTGGAGCCAGCAGCTGCTTTGGGGGGAAGCACAAGAGACACGAGCAGCAATCAGGATCAGAGGGGAGAGAAAAGGCACGGAAACGACTTTGGGTCACCAGGAAAAGGCCGCGCTTCCCCAGAGGCAGCTGCAGGTATAAATATCCTGATTTTCCTCCCTGCCAACGTGCCCCAGAGCCCTTCCCACCCCTCTGCAAGCGGGCACTGTACGTACTGGTCTTCCAGGCATCCGGAGCCTGCAGGTCAGATGTCTTCACAGCCCAGGAGGCGAAGGCACAGAACACCAGGCACATGTCCTTGTGGCTCAGCACCCGCGGCTCCTCCGCTGCTGCTCCTGCCACGAGAGGAGCACGAGGTCCTGGGGGCTCTGAGCCGCCCCCTCTGCCCCCCCTGCCCTCCCTCTGCCCCAGCAAATCCCTGCGAAACCATCCCTGGAGGGGTTTTGGCACCAGGGGTGATACCAGAGAGCTCTGTGCGTTCCCAAAGGACAGCGGCGCATTTGTCACCCCTCCCCTCAGTCCTTCACTTTGCTAAAACCCCAAGGAAATGGGGTTTTTAATCCCTCCCCTCAGTCCTTCGCTTTGCTAAAAACCCCGAGGAAATGGGGTTTTTAACCCCTCCCCTCAGTCCTTCACTTTATTAAAAACCGCAAGCCTCTGTGCGTTCCCAAAGGACAGCGGCGCATTTGTCACCCCTCCCCTCAGTCCTGTACTTTGCTAAAAACCCCAAGGAAATGGGGTTTTTAACCCCTCCCCTCAGTCCTGTACTTTGCTAAAACCCCAAGGAAATGGGGTTTTTAACCCCTCCCCTCAGTCCTGTACTTTGCTAAAAACCCCAAGGAAATGGGGTTTTTAACCCCTCCCCTCAGTCCTGTACTTTGCTAAAACCCCAAGGAAATGGGGTTTTTAATCCCTCCCCTCAGTCCTTCACTTTGCTAAAAACCCCAAGGAAATGGGGTTTATAACCCCTCTCCTCAGTCCTTCACTTTATTAAAAACCCCAAGGCTCTGTGTGTTCCCAAAGGACAGTGGCACATTTGTCACCTCAGTCCTGTACTTTGTTAAAAACCCCAGGGAAATTGGGTTTTTAACCCCTCCCCTCAGTCCTGTACTTTGTTAAAAACCCCGAGGAAACGTTTGCTGAAGCCACCCCCGGCTGCCTCAGTGCCTCCCTGCAGCTCTGCCCCGCTCCCTGTGGTGGCTGCAGCTGGGTCTGGGGAGCAGCCTGGGGACACAGCAATTCCTGGGGACACAGCAACTCCTGGGGACACAGCAACTCCTGGGGACACAGGCAAGGTCCCCTTCCTGTCCCCAGGCACACCCAGCTCCAGGACAACACCTGGGAGTGCTCAGAGCCCCTCTGGGCATCCCACCCCACTCCTGCCTCCTGCAGGGATGGAGACATCCCTGAGTGCTCTGCACGCCCTGATCCGGCCTGCAACAGCTTCAGATCAGGTTCTTTCTGCTCCTATTCATTTGATCAGGCTTTTAATTAAAGCTGGCTCATTAATTAGCTGTGACCACCTCAAAGGGGATTTTTTTCAGACTGGAAGCTCCACGTTGAGGCTCCCTTTGGGATGGCTCCCTCAGTGTTTGGGTTTAGGATTAACTCTGAGCACCACTAAAGCTCAAAGACAAACCCCTGCCTGTCCTGGTGGATCAGACTTCTCCCTTTATTCCCATCTCTCTCACCTGCCCCCAGGAACAGGCAATGTTCAGGTGACCTCTGAGGTCTCCAGAGGGTGTTTCTCTGCTCAGGGTGGGTTTTACAGTCCCACATTCCCGGTCCATGCTGCAGGACCTGGCCAGGAGCACTGGCTTGGCACAGGGGACAGAGAGAGAGGAACGTCCCAAGGGAGAGCCAGGGTGACCCAGCCTGGGGCAGGTCCCTGCAGGGGACAGCAGGATTTACCTCTCAGTGCCAGGGCCCTGTCCTCATCTTCCGGCCACCCCAGCGGGACCAGGGCGAGCTCCTCTCCGGATCTTCTGGGCACCAGGGCCTGGGAGCCTGGGGCTTGGCCTCCTCCCAGCTGCCCCTGCCTCTGCAGCAGGGACCCCAAAGCCCTCACAGCTTTCTTCACCTCCGAGGCCGGGGCCATGGAGAAAATCCCTCTCCAGCCCATCCTTTTGGGGGCTGGCTGTGGGAACAAGTGTTCATGCACATCAGGGACCGAGATAACCACGGTGTCCTTGTCTGGAGCAGAGCTGGGAGCCTCCTTGTGCAAGCCTCTGAACTTCTTTCTTTTCCTGTCTTTAGCTTTGCCTTTTTTCCTGCTTCCTTCAGGCTCGGTGAAAAAATACTCGTACAGTTCAGGCCAGGAGATTTCCCTCTGCAAGGGCGATTTCCGCCCCTCCAGGGAGCTGCCCAGCTCCTCCTCCTCCTGGGAATCGCAGAACAGGTACTCGTACATCTCGGGCCAGGTCACATCCAGGGAGTTGGGCTTGCCAGAGGCTCCCTCAGCAAAGCACAGGGGGCTCACGGCCCTGGGGAGCTCAGCTGCAGCTTCCCAGGGGAGCCCAGCTGCAGGATCACACGGGATCTCGATGGCAGGGATCCTGGGGACCTCGATGGCAGGGATCCTGGGGACCTCGATGGCAGGGATCCTGGGGAGCCCAGCTGCAGGATCACACGGGATCTCGATGGCAGGGATCCTGGGGAGCTCAGCTGCAGGGATCCTGGGCATCTCAATGGCAGGGATCCTGGGGAGCTCAGCTGCAGGATCACATGGGATCTCAATGGCAGGGATCCTGGGGAGCTCAGCTGCAGGATCACACGGGATCTCGATGGCAGGGATCCTGGGGACCTCGATGGCAGGGATCCTGGGGAGCTCAGCTGCAGGGATCCTGGGCATCTCAATGGCAGGACTCCCGGGGATCCCAGCTGCAGGATCCCAAGGGATCCCCACTGTAGGACTCCCGAGGATCCCAGCTGCAGGCTCCCAAGGGATTTCAGGTGCAGGTTTCCTGGGAATCGCAGCTGCAGGCTCCCAGGGGATCCCAGCTGCAGGAACTGCAGGGATCTCTGAGGGTTTCCTGGGAATCTCAGCTGCAGGAATTCTAGGGATCTCAGCCGCAGGAACTCCAGGGATATCTGAGGTCTTCCTGGGAATCTCAGCTGCAGGAACCCCAGGGATCTCTGAGGGCTTTCTGGGAAGTTCAGCAGCAGGAATTCCAGGGATCTGAGCAGCAGCAGGAATTCCAGGGGTCTCAGGAACAGGAATTCCAGGGGTCTCAGGAACAGGAACTCCAGGTGTCTCAGCAGCAGGAACTCCAGGTGTCTCAGCAGCAAGAATTCCAGGTGTCTCGGCAGCAGAATTCCCTCCAGGTGTCTCAGCAGCAGGCTCCCCCTCAGCCCCCTCAGCAGCATTCCCTCCCAACGCTGCCGCACTCCCCAGAGGCTTCCCTGGCATCTCCTGGCTCTCCTCCCCTGGCAGAGCCGCGGCTCCGTCTCCAGGGACCGCGGGGACACTGTCACGTCCGCCCGAAGCCCCGGCCTGCCCTGCCTTTGGGGGCTTGGTGCCCTTTGTCCTGCCCGGGGGCTGCGGCTCCTTGCCCCGGGGCTTTGGGGCGGCATCGCCGCCGTCCGCCCGCTTGCTGTCCGCAGCCTCCTCGCTGCCCAGCCTCACCAGCGCTCCCTTGGCCGCCTTGTCCTTGGCTCTGCCCTTCCGAGGGGACACCGGGGAGCCCGGCGGAGCCTTCCCGGCGGGTGCCGCGCTCAGGGGGTCCCTGTCGCCCTCGGTGCCGCCGGCTCCGCGCTGCTTGCGGCCCTTCCTGGGCTGTGCCGGCACCTTGGGCCGCACCACGCTGGGGGACGCCGCTCCCGGCGAGCTCGGCTCCGTGCCCGCCGCCTGCTCCGCCTGCGCTGCCGCCCTGGGCACCATCCCGGGGCTCGGGGGGTCCCCCGCGGGCTCCGAGGGCACAGGGGCTGCCGGAGCTTCTGGCGCTGCCAGCGGGGCTCGTCCCCCTCCTGCATCCCCGCCCTGCTCCGTGGCCGGGCCGCCTGCGGGCGCCGCCACCGCCGTGTCCTGCGCGGAGCCAGCGGGTGCCCGCGGTGGCTGCCGCCTCTGGGCGCTGGGCATGGCCGCGAGTGCGGGGCAGCTGGGCCGGTGCTGGCTGTCACCCGGGAGCGCGCCCGCAGCGCCCAGCCCCGCCTCGTCCCCGCCGCCCGACGGCGGCCCCGGCACGCAGCGCTCCGGGCGGGTGGCACCGGCACCGTCAGCACGTGGGGCAGGGCTGGCAGTGCCCGGCGATGCTGGCTCGCTGCCCGGCCTGCCTGGGCTCGCCCTGCCGCGTCCCGCCGTGTCCCCTTGCTCAATGTCACTGAGGCTCTGCTCCTCGGCCGTGGCCAGCGAGGCCGGCGCCAGGCTGCACTCCTCGGCGGCCCGCAGGAACTCGGCCCACTCGCGGTCGTTCAGCTGGATGCTGTACTCGAAGTTATCCATGCCTGCGGCAGGGGAGCGGCGACACGTCAGGCAGGACCGGGTGGCACCGCTGTGTGCCCCAAAGCCCGGCTGTGTGCCCCAAAGTGCAGCTGTGTGCCCCCAGCCCTTCCTCCCAGCTCCTCCCTGGCCATCTGCTCATCCTCACCCTCTTCCAGCCCAAACCTGGCTGGAAATTCCAGCCCCTGGCAACCTCAGCAGGACGGGGATGGCTGTGCTGGCCACAGGAGAGGCAGCAATGGGAGAGGTCACTGCCACCCCCTCTGCTCCCCGCTGCCTCCGAGCCCCAGCATGGCTGCACTGGGGCCTTGGGATTCTCCCCAGAGCTGCACAGAAGGTTTGGGATGCTCCCCAGAGCTTTACAGGGGGTGTGGGATGCTCCCCACTGCTGCAAAGGTTTGGGGTTCTCCCCACAGCAGCATCACACCCCACACCCCCCTTTTGCCTCCAATCCACCTTAAACCTGGCACTGATGTTCCTGAGCATTCCCGAAGCCCAGAGCAGCCCGGACATCCCCCACAGCCAGGGCAGCAGCCCCGGCCTTGCAGGGGCCCTGGGCAGGGAGGAGCAGCACAGCTGGACAGCAGGACAGCACAGCTGGACAGGACAGCTGGACAGGACAGCACAGCAGGACAGCAGGACAGCACAGCTGGACAGCAGGACAGCACAGCTGGACAGCACAGCAGGACAGGCACAGCTGGACAGCACAGCTGGACAGCACAGCTGGACAGCAGGACAGCACAGCTGGAGAGCGGGACAGGCACAGCAGGACACGCGGGGAGGGGACAAGGGCCGTCCTACCTGTCCCCCAGCCCCGGGCGGGGACGGAGCCATGCGACAGCCGCAGCAGAGCCCCCCCAGCAGCACATGGTGCCCTGGCCGGGGGCACAGGGCCCGGCTGCAGCTCAGATCCATTCAGGGACTAAAAATAAACCCTCGGTCCCTCCCCGGTGTCACTTGAGAGCCCAGTGCCACCGGCCCATATATAGAACTGCTGGGGGACATGCCAGGGTGGCTGTGACCGCGCTCACAGGGGCTCAGGCTGAGGGGACAGACCAGGATCTGACTCCATGGCTCACAAGGCTGATTTATTATTTTATGATATATATTACATTAAAACTATACTAAATAATAGAAGAAAGGATCTCATCAGAAGGCTGGCTAAGAATAGAATAAGAAATGATAACAAAGGCTTGTGGCTCTGCTCTGTGTCCGAGCCAGCTGGGCTGTGATTGGCCATTAATTAGAAACATCCACATGAGCCCAATCCCAGATGCACCTGTTGCATTCCACAGCAGCAGATAACCATTGTTTGCATTTTGTTCCTGAGGCCTCTCAGCTCCTCAGGAGACAGAATCCTAAGAAAAGGATTTTCCATAAAAGATGTTGGCGACAGGTGGCAGCCAATGTGTGTGACAGTGCCACAGCCACATCTGGGGACACTCCTGGTGTCCCCTGCTCCCTGCTGGGGTCACTGCATGGGGAAGGGGGACAGCCCAAGGAGCTGCCAGCCTTTGGCACACCTGGGTGGCAGTGACTGCCCTTTTGCCCACAGAGCCACTTCGCCTTAGTCACGCTCTCCAGGGTGACACAAAACCACCTCAGGGGCAGGGTTCACCTATTTAGGGCACTCCCAGGGCAGGGTGACACCAGGAGGTCACAGCCAGCTCCAGAGTCTTGTGACAAACCCCGCAGGGCGGGTGGCAGCGCCCAGGGCCACCTGGGCCACGTGCTGCGGGCAGGGCTCGGGGCAGCCTGGCACAGGGCACTGGCACCGTGCCCAAGGATGGCCTGCAGGCCACGAAGCCGAGCCAGAAATAACCCTCAGCTCCCAGCAGCCTTCCTCCCACCTTCCTCCTCCTCCTCCCCGTCCTCAGGGGGGACACAGCTGCCCTGAAGGAGCTGCCTGCAGGACAGGGGGTGAGGGAGTGACCCCAGCCCTGCCCCAAGGCTCCAGGCACCCCCTCAGCCCCCAGGAGCCCACGGTGGGAGAGGCCTGGGCTGGGCTGGGGGTGCTGTGGGAGCTGAGAGGGGCTCTGCAAACCCTCGGGGGTCCCACAGGCTCTGCAAACCCTCGGGGGTCCCACAGGCTCTGCACCCTCGGGGGTCCCACAGGCTCTGCAAACCCTCGGGGGTCCCACAGGCTCTGCACCCTCAGGGGGTCCCACAGACTCTGCAAACCCTCGGGGGTCCCACAGGCTCTGCAAACCCTCGGGGATCCCACAGGCTCTGCACCCTCGGGGATCCCACAGGCTCTGCACCCCTCGGGGGTCCTCCCCAGGGCCAGGCACTGCCCATGCCCCCCTGCCCACCCCGGGGAGACAGGGCACAGCTCCGGGCTCTGTCCCCACAGGGAGGTGACAGCGGTGTCCCTGTCCTGCCATCCCTCGGGACGGTTCTGTCCCCACAGGGAGGTGACAGCGGTGTCCCTGCCCTGCCATCCCTCGGGACAGTTCTGTCCCCACGGGCAGGTGGCAGCGGTGTCCCTGCCATCCCTCGGGACAGTTCTGTCCCCACAGGGAGGTGACAGCGGTGTCCCTGCCCTGCCATCCCTCGGGACAGTTCTGTCCCCACAGGGAGGTGACAGCGGTGTCCCTGCCATCCCTCGGGACAGTTCTGTCCCCACAGGGAGGTGACAGCGGTGTCCCTGCCATCCCTCGGGACACAGGCTCCCCGCGGTGGCGGCTGTCCCGCACTGCACGGCCGGGACGGAGCCAGCAGAGCCCAGCCCAGCCCAGCGCAGCGGTGCCAGGAGCAAACCCTGCCCGGGACGCGCTGCCCTGTGCGGTCAGGAGCATCTGCAGGGACGGGAGAGCCGCTCCCTCCTTCCCGGCCCGGCCCGCCCGCGCCCCGCTGCCCTCGCCCTCCAGAGGGGAAACCGAGCGGTTTCCTGCGCTTGGCTCAGCCGCTTCCTTCCCCTGGAGCCGGGCCCGAGGCAGGGAGAGCTTTCAACGAGTGCCTGAGAGCAGCAGGGACACGGCTGGGACGGCAGCCAGAGGCACAGGGAGGCTGGGATGGGCTGGGATGATTTTGGGATGATTCTGGGATGATTCTGGGATGATTCTGGGATGATTCTGGGATGATTCTGGGATGGTGCTGGGAGGTTGCTGGGATGATTCTGAGATCATCTGGGACGCTGGGATGGTGTTGGGATGATCCTGGGGTGATCCTGGGATGATCCTGGGGTGCTGCAGGGCTGCTCCAGCCCCATCCTGTGGATGGCACCCAGCACCTCCAGGACGGACACTGTGGGATCCAGGACGTGATATAAATAACCAATGTCAACCTGTCACGAGAGAAGGGCCCGAAATAAAGCAGCAGATGTGGCCCCCCCTGTGCCTGGTGGGACAGCCAGGAACGGGCATGGGAAGGGCAGGAAAAATGGGAATGCTGTGGAGGGCACTTCCTTTGGGATAGAGACTTTGGGAATGCTGAGCTTCCAACCCTAACCCTAACCCTCAGCATCCACCAATCCCAGTGCAAAGGAACCTCAGTGTCTGGGAAAAGAGCTCCCAGGGAATGGAATTATTGCAATATTCACAATATGGAATAATTGGAATATTCCCAATATGGAATAATTTGAATATTCTCAACATGGAATAACTGGAATATTTCCAGTATGGAATAATCGGAATATTCCCAATATGGAATAATCGGAATATTCCCAATATGGAATAACTGGAATATTCTCACTATGGAATAATTGGAATATTCTCAACATGGGCTAATTCCCCTCCTACCCAAGAAACTCCGTTTGGGAAAACTCTACCTTTGTGCAGCTTTCCAAACCAGCACTGGAACATCACGAGTGTGGGGGCTTGGCTGAGCTCCCCGTGAGAGAGCCCAGACAATGCAGAGAAACGTGGCTTTGATTAGGAGGATCCTCCCTGCCCTGATCTACACCCATCACATGCTGTGCAGCAGGGCAGGAAGGGAGAGACTGCAGGAAAAGCAGTGGAAAAAAAATAACAAAATAAAATAAAGCAGAATGGAAAAAGAAATCTGTCCACGGCTTCAGGGGTAAGACAGCCTTGGCCCTTGCTGCTTGCCCTGGGACAGAGAGGTTTATTTGTGATTATTTTCTCATTCCCCTGCAGTTTTAGCTGGATGATCCCTGAGCCTCAGGCAGTGACTGCAGTGGCCTTGGGTGTCCATGTGTGGCTGCTCCCCTGCCCCTCCATCTCCTGAGCTGCCCCTGATCTGATCCATTCCTTCCTCTCCATAAATTCCTGCGGGGTCCCACCTGTCCGAGGGACGGATCATGGGACTGGGGAATGCTGGGCTGCTATGGGGGACTGGGGAATGCTGGGCTGCTATGGGGGATTGGGGAACGCTGAGCTGCTATGGGGGATTGGGGAATGCTGGGCTGCTATGGGGGATTGGGGAATGCTGGGCTGCTATGGGGGATTGGGGAATGCTGGGCTGCTATGGGGGATTGGGGAACGCTGAGCTGCTATGGGGGATTGGGGAACGCTGGGCTGCTATGGGGGATTGGGGAACGCTGGGCTGCTATGGGGGATTGGGGAATGCTGAGCTGCTCTCGCACAGCCCCGACCCTGCACAGGGCCAGGAGACCTCCCTGGGATGATCCCAATCCCAGCACCCGGGATCCAGCCCAGGGAAAGCCCGGGAGGAGCAGCTGCGTGCTCAGGAAAGGGTTAACCCTGCACTGAAACTCCGAGCCAGCCAAGCCGCAACCACCGGGCTGGTTTTGCTGGTTTGGGGGCAGGTGAGCAGCAATTATCACCCCCAAACCACCCCAGATCCACATTGTTTTCCCCCAAACCCTTTAACTTTTTTTAAACTTTGGGGCTTTTTGGTTTTTGGGGTTTTTTTTTGCCTGAAACTCACTCCCCGTTCTCTGTTAAAATTCCAGCCCATGCTCCCCCAGCCGGCTCATGCAAAGGTCACACTCGGCTCGCTTGAAACCCAGCCCGAGCTGGCCTGAAACGCTGCCAGGCTCTTCCCAAAGCTCGGCTCCTGGCCGCAGTTTCGGGTTGCTA